GGGCACATACTTGTAAAAACTAATGACATTACAATCTGCATCACCTGTACTTTGTTTTTTTTGTGCTAATACATTAATATGCTCACCATAAATACAGCGTCACACTCTTAAATCTGCCTTTTGCAAATACTTGACCTACGCTTTTTACTGACTTGTCATATGGGTGAATTTGGGTTTATGGCCTTCTTCGGGGAGCATTGTGGGGAAAGCTTTGGTAGCCTCAAGGGCCATTTCCCTTCCCAGGGAACACCGTCTGACCCCGTCCACACCGGGAAGGACACGCCGCCACAATGACAGGCTGGATGACAGGAAGGAAAAACACCAGAAGCAGCAGAAAACGAAGGTCCTTTGTTCGGCTTGTGCCTCGTGAGAGTTTGTGTCGGCATCCTGATCACGAGTCAGTGGCATTTAGACTGGGAGTCTGAGCGCTCTGGTGGGAGTGGGAGATGTAAACTAAAGCATCTACAGCCTGATTTGAATGCATCGCTGCCGTTTACTTGACCTGCCGTGTTTGTCTTAAACTTTTGGGATGTCTTTAAAAAAGGCATTGCAGCCCATCGTTTGTCATTGTCAAATGTTAAAGTGAAACTCCAAGCCAAAATCAAAATACACATTTTCCTCAAGTTCGATCGCTTTGGGTTTGCCTAGTTTTGGAGATGTCTGCTAAAAGGACTAAATGGCACGCGGCTTGTGATGCTCAAAGTGCAAAAGGAATAGATGCCTCTCAGATGTCTCTTCATAGACATTTTGACTATGGATCCTTTGATTGCTTACCTTCAAACCTGATCCTGGTTACCTCATGTGGGCCGAAAACCCCGCAGAGCCGAGGGCGAGTTGCTGGAGGAAACATTTAGTACCTATAAACTATATGCACTCTTATAGACGAGCTTGATCTGGGGAGTTAAAACAAGATTACGGAATAAAAAGGCTCCCAGAGGGGATGAGCTCATGGCAAAAGGTAGGAATGAGCTGTTATTGCCAAAATAATGTCTGCCATTTCAAATACATCAAATCAAATCAGGATTGTGGTATTTATAACCCGATATCGCCTGTAGAATCCATGAGTTTTAAAGTCTGCAGCAGCGGTTCTGGACACAAAAACTCAAAATATAAACTGGGTCAGGAGTCACTGTGCCCAGTAGAAATGGCCAAGCTACAACGTATTATTCCCTCTTTGCTCTGACTGGATGTAAAACCTCCAGTTCAGTGACAAAGGGTGGCATGTTTCGTTTCTCTGGAGCTCTCTTAGCTTTGAATGAAACCGTCCCCATGCTCTTCTTTACTGTGCTGTAAAGTTAATTGAGCTGACGAGAGGATCATCAACGTGGACCCAAACTCAACCTCATGAACCCACTCAGTGTCACCCGGCTTCATATTTGGCTCTTCTTCTGATCCGAAGGTGTACGTTGCTTTCAGAATGTTAACAAACCGCCATCGCAGCAGGCAACTGCCCTCTACTGGCAAGTGTGAATCTAACAATACTTTATCACGATTTGGGTTTTTTACAGAAGGGGAAAAATAAGATACCATGAAGAAGTAATAAGTTGCATTTTCCCCCAGTGATTTGTGCTCTACATTTGAATGAAACGGTATCTGGGTTACTCACGCCTACTGCCGGCCTGTGGATGTTGAAGACATTGTTAAATTGACCTGCAAAAGTTCTGTGGGCAAACAGGTTTGAGAGCATCTATTTATGCTCCTCCACCACTTGTTTAAAGTGATACCTGATCAGCACCCAGTTTAAGGCTTTTATTGTGGCCCTGAACTGGGACGTTTTGGGCCCCCCTGCTGGAGGCTCGTGGCAGTTAATCCAGCCTTGAATTCAAAGTAACCCAATTTCAACACAACCTCCCAATATTGCATAGACACCTGGTTGAACATCAAACAAACAAATCACTATTTACACCGTAGCTTATCAGACCAGTAAACCTTCCCCATTTTTTTAAAATTATTTCCTAAACAGCACTCTTAAAAATACAGATCCGCATGAAACGGCAGAAAACCAGCTACAGTGAAATGTGGGATTCTGTACGATTCCTTTATTCCGAGGCGAACGTCGACTTTGAACTCTGACGTCACCTCAGCGCCGTGTGTACATGGCAACCGCAGCGCCTCCACCGCCGGCAGTCGGTACTGCGCTGACCCGGCCCGCTTTGGCAAACCGCTTCACCCGCCAGCGGACACGCCGTCGTCGCCGTTTTTTTTCTCGCCTTAATGAAGCGGCGATTCCGTTGAAATGAGTCCGAGGAAGAGACACGTCCTGCTGCTGTGGATGCTGGTCTGCTCCTGCGCGACGGAGGCCATCGAGCCCATTAGCACCAGCATAGCGGTCGGCATGGCTGCGGCTCTCACCGGGTTTTTAGCCAGCTACCAGAACATTTTCTACTATTTCCACGAGTGCTGTCGACCCGAGTGGATTGCTTTTAACAGGACAGGTAACGCAGCGGCACCCACAACACATTTTACACTTTATTTTACTCTAGCCGCACAGTTTGCTAGCTGTTGTTAGCTTAAACGAACGTTAGCTGCTTTAACTAACGTTTACCGCTCGCGTCGGCGAGCAGTTGAACGTTCGGTAGCCGAACACAAGTAACCACATGCATTGTGCGAACTCGTACACGGCCAGTTGTAATACTTTTACGTTGTCAATGTAGTATCCATTTAAATGTCCAACATTTAACACGACGTCCGGGAACGGAGCGCGCAGTGTTTGTCGCGCATTCGTGACGTATACGGAAGTATACGTTGTGAAAGAAGCTAACGGTTAGCTGGTTTAGCGTGGATCGTACCGCGGTGGTAATGTGGTCGTCTTTATCAAACCACAACCACTAGCCCACTTCCACGATGAACGCGGCCCGGTTACACTTGTTGCTGCACGTGTTCCTGTCCGCCGGGGTTCTGGTTCACGCGTTTGAGCCCTTCACGACGACATTGGTTCTCGGGGTCGGTGCGGCTCTGGGGCGAACGATCTACAATTATTTACACGAAAGTTGCGATGCGAAATGGATCGTCTTCAATGCAACAGGTGAGAATGTGCAGCTCGAAGGCTTTTTTTCTCACTGCGGGGAGTTTTGTTTCGAACGCGAGAAGGTAAAGAGACGCACACCTTGCGACGTCCATTGTTTACGTTCAAAGTTCTCCGGACGGAGTGAACGCGTCACTCGGGCGTTTTTCTCCGTTAAAACGGAAATGGGAGAGTAACATGTTTAATAACGTCTCCTTTTGGACAACATATGACGTCTTGTGGAATTTCCGTTCGAGGAACAGCCGCGTCGTTTCATGCAGACGCAGGCTTTTATTGCTCAGGTAGGCCGACGCTTCCGTCTGAAACGACCGTTTACTGTGCGGAACTTATAGCTGGACTCACTTAAAAAATGTGCCTCTGTGTGACTTATGCATGAGAAAAAAGACCATTAAATAGAACCAACAAAATGAGCTCACTGGTTCTTAAATGCCTGTACAATTAAATAAAATAAAACAGTTGAAGGTGTTTGCATTTTTCTTATTTTCAGTTCGCAGTCGCCTGCAAAGCACTTTGACACAATAATTCTAAATTATTATTGTGGCTTTGGTTTAAGCTGTCACTGATTAACCAAATGGACCATGAGATGAAGCAAGTTACCACTTCAGCTGGTTTCCTGGTGGCGATGCTGAGAAAGGTGTTTGCAGCCATGAAGCATGTTGACTTGTTGCTGTGTCCTCTCTAGGCCTCCAGCTCGACCTGCAAACCAAACTGTTCGGACAGCACATCGCGTCACGCATCATCCTGAAAGCTGTGACCGGATTCATGAGCAACGACAACCCCAAGAAGCCCCTGGTGCTCTCTCTGCACGGATGGACCGGAACCGGGAAGAACTTTGTTAGTCAGCTGATTGCTGACAACATTTACAAAGAGGGAATGGACAGCAGCTTTGTTCATGTTTTTACATCTGAACTCCACTTCCCACATTCAAGTCATCTGAATACCTACAAGGTACGATGATGAATCCAGTTACTTGTTACAGTTACTGCCCTTCTTGTGTTTGTCCTTTTCATATGGACATGCTGTTTGTCCTCAGTCTCAGCTACAGCAGTGGATCAAAGGCAACGTCACCAACTGTGGACGCTCCATGTTCATCTTTGATGAGATGGACAAGATGCAACCTGGCTTGATTGACAGCATAAAACCGTACCTTGACTACTACGAAAAGCTGGATGGAGTTTCTTATCGGAAAGCCATCTTCATCTTCCTCAGGTGAGAATCTGAATGTATTCCAGACAAACATTTTAATTTATACCTTAGAACATGTTGGGGATTGATTTTCATATCATTTCCGGTTGTTGGTGTGGCGTGAGATTTTTTTCTGTGTCTTAAGTGTGCCTTGACGCAAAAAAGGTTGAAAAACACTGCCTTAGAAGACATTAAAAAAGTTTATTTGGTTAAACAGCAAAATGTATATGCATAAAGATGCTAAATAAATGATATTAAATGAACAGGTGTGGTCTTATGTTCACTTATTAGCAGTATGTAACATTTGAGTTGCATGGTTACAGTTTAGTGTTTTAGGCCTTAATGCATTTCTATTATTAAAATTTCAACAGAGCAGTGACAAATGAATATTTCCGTGTAAAACTTTCTATGTTTCTTTACTCTGTGACAACAAAGAACTACAATCATTTGCTGCTGCAATCAAAAGCAAGTTCTAATATGTTCTAATCTTCTTCTTAGCAACGCCGGAGGGGAGGGCATCATACAGGCCGCGTTAGACTTCTGGACAGCAGGACGAGATCGAGAAGAGCTGGAGCTAAAAGATCTGGAAACGGTGCTCTCTGTATCAGTGTTCAACAACAAGAAAAGTAAGTCCAAGATGAACAAATGTTTCTTTCTTTGTTGGATTCTTTGGTGTCTTCTATCAGAAACTAGATTTGATTAAAAAAAAAACTTGGCTTGTCAACAGACTTTTTGAAATGTATCAATCGTGATTTAAAAGTTTGTCATTTAAAGATGAGTAATAAGCAGTCACTTTAGAGAGTGTGTATTTTAAATGCAAAACTATACACATTTGCTCGTCTCCAAGGCAGAATTCCAACGGTGGAACATGTTCAACTACCGACTCTTCCTGCTGTCCTCGTGTAGTTTGACTGCTGTGTTTTTAGTTCCCAACAATCTCGCCGTTTGCCACACCCCTTCTGTTTGACACGTGGAGGAATTCTATATTCCTACACACCGGAAGTAAATAAAGTTGTGTTTAAATATCGCATTAATCTCGGCCACATTAATCGCATAGATTGCCGCGTTCATTTTGGCAGCCCTAAAAGAAGCACATGTCCGACCAAAGTGTCTGTTCATCTCTTCCTACAGGTGGTTTGTGGCATACGAGTTTGATCGACAAGAACCTGGTGGACTTCTTCGTCCCCTTCCTGCCTCTGGAGTACCGGCACGTCGTCGAGTGCGCCATGGCCGAGATGAAAGCCAGAGGAGTTCCACCCAACCACAACGTGGCAGACCAGGTGGCCAAAGATGTGGTGTATTTCCCCAAAACCGAGAGAGTGTTCTCTGTCAAAGGCTGCAAGACGATATCCAGCAAGTTGGACTACTACACATAACGGCGTCATCCGATGGACGCCGCGTTCGATCAGATTGTGCACTTAAAAAAAAAAAGAAGAATAAAAAGAAAATTGGGAAAGAACGCTCTCGGCCAAGTGACTGAAGAGAGGAAGTCAGCCTGACTGAACTCTGAGGAGGATCCACTGGTGCTTTCCCTGTTTGACCTTGTGAAAGAATGGAGGATTTCATCGGGCCTTCTCCGATTCTACAAATGGTTAACACTGAACGCAGGAGAGCAGCGCCGGCTGAATTAAATAATTATAAGACTGGAATGTTTTCCTTTGTAGGTGTTGAAGGGGTGCTGTCGCTGCTTATTGCGGCGCCACAGTTTGAGTCTCACGGGCGTTTTAGCTTTCCTGAGCTTCTTAATTACGGCATGTTGCTGTTGTGCATTTTCTTTTTTTTAATGTTCAGCTCCATCTATAGGGATTACTGGAAACACCTGCCTTAATTCTTTTTTAATTTCACAATTTGCATTTTTTGTTTAGATCTATAGAGTTGTAGACATGCGTCCACTTTACATGTAAAATGCACATGTGACCATCAACGTTGGCCTTCATGTCACCATTCAACAGAACATGTTTTATAAGTATCATATTGAAATAAACATCAGCAGGATATGTTTTCTACGCCGCGCTCGCACACACTTTTAATATCTAATTTGATTCTTGTGATGCATTACAAATAGATTCTTGCATACATGAGTAATGTACACTGAAGTTGATATTTATGTCCACAGTGGAATATTTCCAAATGTAATTTTTCCTTATGGATATGCTTTTATTTACACCAGTGACTAGTTAAACACTATACGTTCTGGATGATCAGTTTTGTATGAAACACAAAATTCAAATGGTATATTTGAATGGAATTCACGTACTTTGAAAGTTTAGCATGATGTTTTTTTCTTTTCAAACCGCTTATCTTATTTTTAAAGTGGACGAGGTCGTCCAGGGGGTGTAAGCAAATGTTGGGTTGGTATTTTAAAAGCTGACAGTTTTTAAAACCACAAACAAGTTGTTACTCTGTAAACCTGCAGGTGGAGGAGCTCTAATGTGAAGGGATATTGTTATTATGGAGGGAAAGCCCAGTGAGTCACTGCTGTGTGTGTATATACACACACACACACACACACACAAATCACAAATAAAACAAGAACTTCTCCAGCTGTCACTGTTTCTGATGCAGGTTTCACATTAGGCTGAAGAGTCCACACCTAAAGACAATCTAGCAACACCCTGACGAGCTACTGACTGAGAAAGGTGAACCCGATGAAGCCCTGGTGGTCTCTCTGCCCCCCCCCCCCCCCCCCTCTCTTTGTTAATATAGGTATGCTCCGGTTTGCACTTAATATTTCCCAAATTATTTCCTAAACGGCACCTGTAGAAGCCAAATGTTCACATGAAATGTCTTTACCGTATTCTGTACACTGGGTGGCGCTGTTTTGGGTCCTGTGCGCATCTATGTGATTGATAGAATAAGAATTGACATCAGGTGTTGGACCCGGAGAGCGAAAGGGGTTTGACCGCTGTCGCGGCAAGAGAGAGTTGGTTCCACTGGGAACAAAACCGCGTATGTAACAAATAAAACTAAGATCAACAACACCCGGGACGTGTCGGTGGATTATTTCTTCCAGATGAACGCGGGGGTGATTGAGGCTGGAAGAACAGCGCGTCACACAGACCAATCCGGAGCCGTTTCTCAATATGCGTTCTTGTGTGGACTTTTGTTCTCGTGGACTCGTGAAACGTCATCAGTCACAGCCCGAGTACTGTTCCAATTCTCAAGTCCGCATCTGGCCGAGAACGGTCATAATACCCGGATGTGACTCGCCCCGCCCATTTTACCGGGCATGCATCGAAGCAGGCTCGTCTGTTCTTGTGAGAGACATATATCCCAGAATGCATTTCACCTCAGCAAGCTGCGATGGCAGATGAGATACTTGCGTGCGTAAACAAAGACCGCCTACTGTGGTGACGTCATCAAGTCAGCTGCTGTTCCAATTGCGGAAATGTCCGTTCTCCGTTCTCCCGTACCCGTGAGTCAGGACTCCCGAGTCTGTCTCCCGAGTCTATTCTCGCGGGAACGCGAGTCCGTTCTCGCCGTCTTAGGTATTGAGAAACGGCCCGGGGGAACCAGCACCTCAGTGGTCCAGGTAAAAGGACCGGGCTCCTTTAAAAAAAAAACGACCACTGCTGTTCTGCATGCAGTGTCTGTGGCAGAAGACCAGCTGCAGTGACATTTGGGATTTTGTATAATTATAAAATGCTAAAATAGCAATAGTGGACATTCGTTTATTCCCAGGATAACGTCACCTCTGGACTCTGACGTCACCTCAGCCGCCTCCGCCAGCAGGCGGCGCTGTGTTGGCTCAAGCCCGCTTTGGCAAACCGTTCAACACGCTTACGGTCACACCGCTGACGTCTTTTTGTGTAACTTAAGTTTGATGAAGCGGTGATTCCACTGAAATGAGTCCGAGGAAGAGACTCGTCTCTTACGGCTTTGCCACTGAAGAGCCATGTTGTACAATGTAGTGTTATTAGTCGTATTCAAAGCACACGTTTCATGAGATTAAGAGGGAAAATACACTGCTACTAAAGAGCCATGTTGTACAATGTAGTGTTATTAGTCGTATTCAAAGCACACGTTTCATGAGATTAAGAGGGAAAATACACTGCTACTAATCATATTTATGTTGGTGGAAAGTGGTGAAGCACTAAATCAGACTTCCGACTACATCCTGCGGTCAACTCAGAAGACACTTGAATGTTAGTGCACGTGTGTGCTGACATTTACGGTATTAAACATGTAACCCGGATCAAAGCTATTTGTTAAATCTAGTTTTTAACAAATGTGTGTACAAGACTAGTCAGGGAGGTCCTTAACACATGTACATTAGTCTTGCAGCTCAAATATGGAGAAATTCTCTTTTCGAACCTTTGGACAATTTTCAAAATTTGTAAAATAAAAATATTACATTTTTTTTGGAGTCACAGGTCCTATACGCACATACTTCAGTCATTTTCCTGATTCTTTGATTTAATAGCTTTTATTCCGGTTACATTATATACGTTATTATATTACGTTGAATACCATATATGTGCAATAACATTCAAGTGTCTTTATAACATGTCGTTATTCAGAGGTTGCCTGGCAACACTCAAGCAATAGAGTGGAACATATGAGGAGGCGGCCGGTGCAGCTACATTCCGTCCTGTAACCGGTTGATGCAGTTCTGGAAAAATGAACCTGCCACTGTTCGATCGAGGCGTCACTCAGTGTCGTTTCCTCAAACCACTCCAGGAATTATCCTATTTCCACAATGAACGCGGCACGTTTACATTTGTTGCTGCATGTTTTTCTGTCAACCGGCCTGCTGGTTCACGCGTTTGATCCTTTAACGTTTGTCAAGAGCAGTGCGACTATGGGGGAAAAGATCTACAAGTATTTCACACCTGAAAGTTGCGTCTGCTTCAATCCTATAGGTGAGAATGTGCAGCTCGCAGGATGTTTGAGGTCTCCTTCCATTCCGTCCATTGGTGGAGTTTATTTAAATACTGTTTTTACTTTATTTTTAGTTATTCGTGTGGTTTTCGTTTAAGCTGTCGCATGATAACTAAATAGACCGTGAGGTTTCCTGGTGGAGATGCTGAGAAAGGTGTTTCCAGCTATGAATCATTTTTGTTGCTGTGCTCTCTCTAGAGGAGCTGCGAATGATCTACAATGATTTCATGCAGGAACGTTGCGATCCGAAAAACATCGTCCTCAATGAAACAGGTGAGAATGTGCAGCTCGAAGGCTGTTTGAGGTCTCCTTTCATTCCGCCCATTGGTGGAGTTAATTTACTTTGTTTTTACTTCATTTTCAGTTACTGTGCAGAACTTTTATCTGGACACAAATCTCTTAATTCCAAAAATATGCCTCCATAGAAACCGGACATTTAAATAAAATAAAATACCCACTTGTGCATTTTTCCCGACAGTTGAAGTGTTTGCATTTGTCTCATTTCCAGTTATTTGGTTTGATTTGATATAATAGTATCTATTATTCATGTGGCTTTGGTTTAAGCTGTCACTGATTAACTAAATGGACCATGAGATGAAGCAAGTTACCACTTCAGATGGTTTCCTGGTGGCGATGCTGAGAAAGGTGTTTGCAGCCATGAAGCATGTTGACTTGTTGCTGTGTCCTCTCTAGGCCTCCAGCTCGACCTGCAAACCAAACTGTTCGGACAGCACATCGCGTCACGCATCATCCTGAAATCTGTGACCGGATTCATGAGCAACGACAACCCCAAGAAGCCCCTGGTGCTCTCTCTGCACGGACCGACCGGCACCGGGAAGAGCTTTGTTAGTCAGCTGATTGCTGACAACATTTACAAAGAGGGAATGGACAGCAGCTTTGTTCATGTTTTTACATCTGAACTCCACTTCCCACATTCAAGTCATCTGGATACCTACAAGGTACGATGATGAATCCAGTTACTTGTTACAGTTACTGCCCTTCTTGTGTTTGTCCTTTTCATATGGACATGCTGTTTGTCCTCAGTCTCAGCTACAGCAGTGGATCAAAGGCAACGTCACCAACTGTGGACGTTCCATGTTCATCTTTGATGAGATGGACAACATGCAACCTGGCTTGATTGACAGCATAAAACCGTACCTTGACTACCACGAAAATCTGGATGGAGTTTCTTATCGGAAAGCCATCTTCATCTTCCTCAGGTGAGAGTCTGAATGTATTCCAGACAAACATTATAATTTACATCAAAGAAGACATAAACAAAGTTTCTTTGGTTAAACAGCAAAATGTATTTGCATAAAGGTGCTAAAATGAATGATATTAAATAATTGATAATATATTTGGTATCATGTTCACTTATTAAGGAGATGTTGAGATCTTTGCTGTTGTTGTGAATAAGGAAAAACATCTGTTGTTCGTTCAATGTAACATGTTAGATTAGATTAGATTAGATTCAACTTTATTGTCATTGCACAGGGTACAAGTACTGAGGCAACGAAATGCAGTTTAACATCCAACCAGAAGTGCAAAGTAGCAAAAAAGTGCAGAGTATGTGCATATGTAAAGTGTAATAAGTGAATAAATAGATATGTACAGTAAGAAATAGTTATGCAATATGAACAGTAAGAAATGGATATGCAACAACAGTGCAAATGTTCAGTGGCTGGAGGAGGGTGTGTGGCAGTCAAGCCAGGGTGGAGGGGGGAGTACAGTCACTGAGGGAGATGTGTGTGGGGGTGGGGGGCAGAGTTCAGTAGAGGGACAGCCGCAGGGATGAAGCTGTTCCTGAACCTGCTGGTCCGGGAACGGAGCACCCTGTAGCGCCTCCCAGAGGGGAGGAGGGCAAACAGTCTGTGGCTGGGGTGAGAGCTGCGTGCCCTCCGCAGACATCTCTTGCTCTGGACAGCCTCAACGGTGGGGAGTGAGGAACCGGTGATGCGTTGGGCAGTTTTCACCACCCTCTGCAGTGATTTACGGTCCGCGACAGAGCAGCTGCCATTTCATACTGAGATGCAGTTTGTAAGGATGCTCTCTATGGTACAGCGGTAGAAATTCTCTAGAATCTGGGGAGACAGATGGGCCTTCTTCAGTCTCCTCAGGAAGAAGAGACGCTGGTGTGCTTTCTTTATCGATGAGGTGTTGAGGGTCCAAGAGAGGTCCTCAGAGATGTGGACACCCAGGAACTTGAAGCTGGCGACACGCTCAACCTCCGTCCCGTTGATATGGATGGGGATGTGTGTGCCAGCTTTCTTCCGGAAGTCCACAATTAGCCCTTTGGTCTTCTTGGTGTGGAGAGCCAGGTTGTTGTCGGCCCGCCACACCGCCAGGTGCTGGACCTCCTCTGTAGGCCGACTCATTGTTGTCACTGATGAGGCCAATCACCGTTGTGTCGTCTGCAAACTTGACAATGGTATTAGAACCGTGTACAGGTGTGCAGTCGTAGGTGAAGAGGGAGTAGACCAGTATGTACCAGTATGTAAGATTTGAGTTGCATGGTTACAGTTAATGCATTTCTATTATCGAAAAACTCGACAGAGCAGTGACATGAATATACAGTATATTTTGCGTTAAACTAAACTTAACAGTAACTCTAATTAACTAAAATCTTCTTCATAGCAATGCCGGAAGGGAGGGCATCATACAGACCGCGTTAGATTTCCGGAAAGCAGGACGAGATCGAGAAGAGCTGGAGCTAAAAGATCTGGAAACAGTGCTCTCTGTATCAGTGTTCAACAACAAGAACAGTAAGTCCAAGATAAACTAATGTTTCTTTCTTTGTTGGATTCTTTGGTGTCTTCGGTCAGAAAGTAGATTTGATAAAAAGATTTAGACCTTAGACACCTTAGATAAAAACATTGACACCTGTCCGACCAAAGTGTCTGTTCATCTCTTCCTACAGGTGGTTTGTGGCATACGAGTTTGATCGACAAGAACCTGGTGGACTTTTTCGTCCCCTTCCTGCCTCTGGAGTACCGGCACGTCGTCCAGTGCGTCATGGCCGAGATGAAAGCCAGAAGAGTTCCACCCGCCCACAACGTGGCAGACCAGATGGCCAAAGATGTGGTGTATTTCCCCAAAGCTGAGAGAGTGTTCTCTTCCACAGGCTGCAAGACGATATCCAGCAAGTTGGCCTACTACACATGATGTCGTCATCCGATGGGCGCCGCATTCGATGTAAAAAACAAATAAATCAAATGATAACATACATCTGAATGGTTGAGTATCCATTTACTTTGATTTAAAATGTAGCTTTACGTTGGACCCCAGCCTGTTGTTGGCCCTTTGGTCCAAAAAAGGCATGCATGCACATTCTAAAATGATAATTTTATGCCACCACACGGTCTAAGTGGAAAATGCTTGCTGTCAGCAAAACGGGGAACACGTGTGAGTTTGGTCTCATGTGTAAATATCAGTATCCAAGAATAAATGAAAAAAGCACTTCCAGGGTATCCATCCCTATAAAACATGGAGATAAAAAACATATAGGCTATGGCCCAGTGTGTGGACAGTCTTTGTGCAAAACACTGGGAAAAAAAATGCATTTTTTAATAGAAAACGTCAAAGGTTTATGGTATACTTATTTGGCTGTAATCAGGGTGGAATCGGCTCCTTGTTTCCTGTCTTGGTTTCTTTGCACCGTGTGGACAATTTGGGGGCAAATTTTACATATGATATTTTCTAATTCTTTTACTTCTTGTTTGAGTTCCGTTTGGAGCATTTTCAAATGTGTAAATAGCATTATTACATTTGTTCGGGATGAGGATCTCTTATTAGACATGCAGTATGTGGCAGAATTGTCGGGTTGGACCTTGGTTCTGGGTCCAAGACGGTGACGCTTAATTAAAGCTTTTTTTTTAAAGCATGTGGGAGTTGTAGGGAAATATTTTCTCAAATCTGGCAGGATTTAAAACCACAAAATAAAAGTTGTTATTATCTGTACAACCGCTTGTAGTTCCCTGCAGGTGGACGAGCTTTAGGTGGAATGTGAAAGAACAAGTTATTGTGGATGGAAAACAAATAAAAAATTCACCTTTCTTGCCGTCACTGTTTCTGATGCCTTTGAGACAAAGTTCATGGACAATCTAAAGAAACAGCTGCACATTGATGAGATACTTACTGAGAAAAGTGGACCCCGACATTCAGGTTCCATCTTACTAACCCCAAGAAGCCCCTAATGCTTGCAGAGGAAAAGTCATCACTGAACCACTGTCATATGTCTCCTGTCCTGCTGAGGGACATATTATAACGTATTATCCTGCGACATGACTGAACTCATGCCCGGGAGAAGGGCTGAAGGAGCTGAGGACACAAGCTGATATAGTGGTGATGGACGGACCCCAGAGGAGCAAAAGCCACCCGAGAAGAAGCAGAATAAAGAGACTAGACACAATTAAGAAGATCCAAATGCAATACCAAAAGCACCCAAAGAGTAAGACCCAAATGTATCATATTGAAAGTTTTAGCAAAACTTTTCCATATCCGTTAACGGACATGAAGTAACATTTTTGGTAGACTCGGGAGCTACTACATCTCTTTTGACCACATTGCTCCAAAACTCAGCGGTAGAAGCTGTTTAACTGTTGGCGACAGACATTTAGAGACAGTCATTCAGCCCCTATTGGGTGTGAATTGGATGGTCAGGTGTTACGCACGTACAGCACCCCGTGAGGGGAGGGGAACATACACCGCGCTGCCCAGAACCCCAGACGGCCAGAGACCGGGTGTGGGCGCAAGTAATCACACCAACATCGATGGGTCTGGTTTAAACAGGCTAGCACGTGCCAGTTTATTATTAATAATAATAATAATAATAATAATAATAATAATAATAATAATAATAATAATAATAATAATAATAATAATAATAATAATAATAATAAACAATAGAGGGAAATGGGAGGACGGCTGAGCTGATCCAAAACAAAGAAATTAGCAAAACCCCACCCCTTACCTGTCCCAACGTCCTACACAAAACACTTATTTACTCTGGCGCTCGAGCAAGGCGCCCTAACCAAAAATACAGGGGGTGGATCGCTCAGATCTAACCTGGTGTGTATAACAGGAGATATCCCTACGGGTGATGTATGCCCAGGGCGTCTTTCCTAACACTCCCAAGTGCTTTCCGTTCTCCCTGGGAAGGACACACGAAATACAAATGATTAATACTTTCAATACTCCAAAACACTCCACCATGTACAACCAATTTCACAAGAGCACCCCAAACACAACCTTACACCCTGCCTGAGAGATCTGGACTGAACAACCAGAAACACATAAATACAGCTGATGGGACGATGCGATTGGAGGATGGGAAAACAGGAACCAGCTGTAGGAGATCACGGGAGGGCGGATGAGTAATGAAGACAATTAGCTCCACCTGAGGAGGGTTATCACACACACAGAACACAGACAAGACCTGGGGTCGTAACATCAGGTGACTAAACATTAATTTGTTGTCTCAAAGAACTGCCCGGTCAATTTGTTGGGCAGAGAGCTGATGTGCCGTTTTGCCATAATTCTTCACTCCAGGTCGGAGTGTGAAGGTTTTGAGATGAAGCGATTCATCCATTCACAATGCAGATGGTTAAATATCAGAACTGCTGTATATCTATGTATGGCAGCTATTGTATAACTCACTCACACTTCCCTCAGAAGAGTTATGGTCATTTGCACACACACACACACACACACACACACACACACACACACACACAACACAGAAGCATAAAATTGCATAACACCACAATTCATTTAAATTCTTTTGTGTAGCCCAAAATCACAAATCTGCTTCAGAGGGCTTCACAGTCTGGACACATGAGACACCCTCTGTCCCAGGACCCTCACGTCGACTCAGGAAAAACTCCCCAAAAAATTAAAAACCCTTTGATTTTCACGGTAGAGATATTTGACAGTAAAACTATTTCATTTTTTTGTACAATAGTAGTCAGAGAGGTCCACACGTGTAGATTAGTCTTTGTCTGGAATTATTGATTCCATTTTATTCTGACTGCAGGTTTAATACCGTAAATGTCCGCATAAAGGTGCACTAAAATTCGAGTGCCTTCTGAGTTGATCACAGTCTTCATATGATGGGAACATGTCTGTGGGAGCTATTAGTTATTTATTATTGAATATAGTTTGGTTAGGTATTACTAATAATTAGGTAATACCGTGGCCACCTGGAGGTTACTTAAGGGCGAAAACCAGGTAGGACCAGCATGCACCTGTTTGTTTACCAGTGAGACGCAGCACTGCATGGGAACGCAGCCAAGCCAATTGTGTTTGTTGCCTTCTTTGGAAATAAAATGTGAACAAAAGCAACCGATGGCCTGGACAATACGCCCTCAAACAAAAACGGACAGTAGGTGCAGCCAGTGGCCCTTTGGTTTAAAGATCTGTAGGACAAATGGCCACTAACTACAACGTCGTTATCCAGAGGTTGCCTGGCAACGCTGACGCGCTAGAGAGCAACTCACGAGGAGGCGGACACGTCCAGCTACATTCTATTCCGCGACCGGTTTATGCAGTTCTGAAGAAGGAACTTTCCCTGTCGAGGCGTCCCTCGTTTTGTTGTGGTCGTTTAATCAAACCAAGAGCACTGCAGGAATGATCTCATTTCCACGATGAACGCGGCACGTTTACATTTGTTGCTGCATGTTTTTCTGTCAGCCGGCGTGCTGGTTCGCGCCTTTGATCCGTTCACAGTGACGTCATCGCTCTTCGGGATCAGCGCGGCTCTGGGAAGAACCATCTACGATTATTTCAGACATAAAGGTTGCGATCCGGAATCGATCGTCTTCAATGCAACAGGTGAGAATGTGCAGCTCGGAGGTTGTTTCGCAGAGAGTTTTTGTTGATATAGTGAGAGAAGGTAAAGAGACGCACACCTGCAACGTCCATTGTTTACCTTCATAGAGAATCCAGGCGCAGTGAAGGTGTCATGAAATCGGAATGGTGGAGTAACATGTTTGGAGGTCTTCTTCCATTGGTGGAGTTAATTTACTTACTTCGTTATTACTTTATTTAAAGTCGCTGTGCAGAACTTTAAGCTGGACATGAAACTCTTAATTCCCATAACATGCCTCTCTGTGACTTACTTTAGCCAAAAATTAAATTAGCTGACACTGAAAATTTAACTCTTTAAGTAAGTAAATAAAATTTCCACTTCTTGTGCATTTCCCCCGAACAATTGAAGTGTTTGCATTTGTCTAATTTCCAGATATTATCATTCGCCTGCAAATCACTTTGATATAAATTGAATTGGATTTGATATAATGCTATTAATTATTATAGTGGCTTTGGTTTAAGCTGTCACTGATTAACCAAATGGACCATGAGATGAAGCAAGTTACCACTTCAGCTGCACAGTTTCCTGGTGGCGATGCTGAGAAAGGTGTTTGCAGCCATGAAGCATGTTGACTTGTTGCTGTGTCCTCTCTAGGCCTCCAGCTCGACCTGCAAACCAAACTGTTCAGACAGCACATCGCGTCACGCGTCATCCTGAAAGCTGTGACCGGATTCATGAGCAACGACAACCCCAAGAAGCCCCTGGTGCTCTCTCTGCACGGACCGAGCGGCACCGGGAAGAGCTTTGTTAGTCAGCTGATTGCTGACAACATTTACAAAGAGGGAATGGACAGCAGCTTTGTTCATGTTTTTACATCTGAACTCCACTTCCCACATTCAAGTCATCTGGATACCTACAAGGTACGATGATGAATCCAGTTACTTGTTACAGTTACTGCCCTTCTTGTGTTTGTCCTTTTCATATGGACATGCTGTTTGTGCTCAGTCTCAGCTACAGCAGTGGATCAAAGGCAACGTCACCAACTGTGGACGTTCCATGTTCATCTTTGATGAGATGGACAAGATGCAACCTGGCTTGATTGACAGCATAAAACCGTACCTTGACTACCACGAAAATCTGGATGGAGTTTCTTATCGGAAAGCCATCTTCATCTTCCTCAGGTGAGAGTCTGAAAGTATTCCAGATTCCAGTATTCTGTGTGGAGTCTGCATGTTGTCTGTGTGGGTTCTCCCTCAGTCCAAAGACATGCTCTGGGGATCAGGTTGATTGGTGACTCTAAATGGCCAGTTGTGCGTTCAGTGTGGAAACGTGTTGCACCAGTATGTAAGATTTTAGTTGCATGGTTACAGTTTGGTGTTTAAGGGATTTGTATTCATACCGTAGAACAGTAATCCCCAACCACCGATACCGGTCCATGGGCCATTAGGTACCGGACCGCTTGGAAAGAATAAATATGTTTTTTTCTGACTTTTCTCTCAGAAAAAATGTTTTATTTTGAAAAATGATCGGGTTCTCTCTCTTGACACATTTCAAGACACTTTAGCCCACAAGCTCCTGAAAATGAGCAAAAAACAAACATGTTCGGAGAGTTTCATTTGGAAAGGGGAAGAGGCCCCCGAGGAGACAGAAGAAGAGCTTAAAAAAAGGAAAGCTTCATTTAACAGGAAGCGTCAGGAGTAGTACTTAAGATAAGGGTTCATCAAGTCAGGTAATCCTCATGTGCCAAGTTCCCTCCGCGTTTCACGTTTGTACGTTTTCATACCGATCGTATTTCGTTGTTTATTAATTACAGCTTGAAGTCTGCAAAATCTTGTCTAGCATTAAACTGGCCCGTGACCGCTGCTGCAGAAGATATAAAACTGGAGGTCTTACACAGTTTTCCTCAGTAAAATATACAAGCATAAACATGCTAAAAAGAATGATTTACAACATGTGTGGTATTATGTTCACTTATTGAGGAGACATTTTGTCAATGTCTTCCCAGTTGTGGAACGTGAAACGTGTAAAACTTTATTTCTGAGATTCTCTCTACAATCGTTCGCTGCTGCAATCAAAAGCAAGTTCTAATATGTTCTAATCTTCTTAGCAACGCCGGAAGGGAGGGCATCATACAGACGGCGTTAGATTTCTGGAAAGCAGGACAAGATCGAGAAGAGCTGGAGCTAAAAGATCTGGAAACGGTGCTCTCTGTATCAGTGTTCAACAACAAGAACAGTAAGTCTAAGATAAACAAATGTTTCTTTCTTCTGGATTCTTTGGTGTCTTTGACTCCTCTCCGACCAAAGTGTCTGTTAATCTCTTCCTACAGGTTACTTTTCAAGTTTGATTGACAAGAACCCCGTGGACTTTTTCATCCCCTTCCTGCCTCTGGAGTACCGGCACGTCATTGAGTGCGCCTTGGCCGAGATGAAAGCCAGAGGAGTTCCACCCGACCGGAACGTGGCAGAACAGGTGGCCAGAGACGTAGTCTATGACCTAAAAACTGAGAGCGTGTTCTCTGTCAAAGGATGCAAGACGATATCCAGCAAGGTGGACTACTACACGTAACATCGGCATCCAATGGACGTTCGATCACATTGTGCACTTAAAAAAAACGAGAAATTGAAATGATACCAAATATCTGTATATTTTAAAATGATAAAATTTGGACGTTGGACCCTATCCTGTTTTGCAGATCAGATTATATCCACTTTGTCAAAAAACAGGTTCTTATATTTGGCTTTTTGTATGAACATGCTTGTGTTTTTCTCCCAATCTCAACTAGAGCAGAGAATCAAAGGCAATAGCCCCAAAATCGAAAAGTATGAAAGTATGTTGCTAAAAGTTTGTCAAGTAGAAAACAAACCTGTGTAATAACTTAATAGCTTGCCAAACACTTCTGAGCAAAGTGGAACTCTCGGCCCGACGGCAAAAGAGAAGGAGAGCTACAGTCATTATAGTTTATAGTGAGCTAAATGCTGTATGCAGACACGGCCTTCCGCTGTGTTTGTTTGAAATGAATTATGTAGTTAGTTTTCAACACAAAGTTTGAAGCATCACAATATCTGTATTTTTTAATTGGGATTTATTTTTTGTACAAGATGTACCTCTGCTTTAATATGGCTCTGATGTTAATAACTTTACCACAATTATTCTAATTCATTCTTATTATTAAGATAGGATTGTTTTAATTGATTGTTGGCCTCCTGGTTTGACATGTTATATGTATAATTCCTCTTGTACATTTACTCACCCAGTTATTGGATGAATTAGTTATGTCATAGGTAATGTCAGATAAAAGTAAAAACCATCTTTCCCCCTCAGGATATCAGCAAGGGTCTGTGCTACAGCTCCTAATGGCAAAGCACTGGCTTCACCTCTTGACTTATAACAGAGTACATTACAGCTAAAAGAAAACGACACAAGTAACCTGGTGTCAACAAGTTTATTTATCATATTTAAACATTGTAATCACCCCGTTTTCTTCTTCCGTTACAAAACTCGTCTTGTGCCGCATCAGCGATCTTCCTGCCGGCCTCGTGATTCGAAGCCGGTTGCTCGCGGCCTCTCGGTCGTATTCAACACTCGGGAGTTACCGAGCACAGTCTGTGTGAAGGGTCCGAGTCTTACACCAGCAGGACAGCGTTAATGCAGCCATCATTCTCTGGGTTATTTGTCACCTGGGCATATTTACCTGGGAAGTCAAATAAAGGTTTCAGTTACCACATCGTCCCGTCGGCGTAGTGCGTGTAAATCCGTATGACCAATGAATACACACAGAGGAGCACTCACCCCAGATAACCTTTCCTCCTTGTGTAACCAAGCCCAACTCGCTGACGTTGACCTCTATGACCGTTCCCTTTGTGATGACGCCCAGAGAGGTGTAGAGGGGGGAGGACGGGTTCTTCTTCACCCCGAGGATGGGAAGGCAGAACGTGGCCTTCAGCTCAGGATGCGTGACGTGAGCTTTCTTAAAACGCAAACCCTGGAAGCGGAATACAGAGCGGGAGGTCGCTTTTGAGTTAGGCACTGATCTCAAAATGGAAATTGAACATTAGGGCTCAACTTGTGGGAAAAATCTGTATTGCATTGAGAAGTGTAGAATGTTTTAAACGTAGCAATCAATATAATTAAAAGGTGTGCTGCAGTCTTACCATGGGTCTGATGAAACGCTCATATTTGGGAGGTTTACGGGTGAAGCCGTCGCCGACAAAGGTAACTTTGGTGACCATCCTCTTCCAGGCTTTCTTTTGTCTCTTTCCGGTTTTGATGACTTTGAGCACTTCCATCTCTCCTTGTGCTCGCACTTTTGGCAGAGGAACCTCCCATTTGCCCTTCAGGAACCAGAACAAAGTGGTGATTAGAAATCGGGCGTGTTATTTTGTCACACAGATATAACAAATTTAAAATATGTTAACTAAAAAAGCCTGAAATGGTCACAGTGCAACTACACAACCATCTTCAAGAGACCTGCTGATGAGGATATTTTATCTGGTACTTACAGCTTTCTCTTTCCTCTTCTGTTTGATCATGTTGGATAGCACCTTAGCGCGGGACTGTCCCTCTCTGTCTAACAGGTAGGCCGGCACCGCTCCCTCTGGGGTCTTATCGTCGCTCTTCTGCTTTGTCTTCCTCTGTTCGTGCATTTTGATGCTGCAAAGACACACGGGAGAATTATTTAGCTGTTAAATTGGAGCGTTTTGGTTTCCTGGGAAAAGGCCAGATTCCCTGTATGTACTCACGTCTTCTTCATCTGGATCTTCTCTGAATGTCTCTGTTTGTGGTACAGTTTGGCCTTCAACCCAATCAGCTTCCTGGCTTTGTGGGACCGCGCATGGACCTCACGACTCTCCTTCTTCCTCTTCCTTTCATGGTGGTCCAGGCGGTAGCCATGCCGCTTGCGGTGCAACTCAATGTGCTCGTTCTGGGGCTACAAAAAGAAAAACAAACATCAAATCCAACTCCCTTATGAACAGTAATGAACGCAAAGATGCAGAGCAGAAAAAACTACACAAGAAAGAATTTCTCATAGTGATGTCTGATATTGGATTGCTCGTACAAGCAGGAGTCCTATAGTGGGAAACAAATGCTTCATTATTTTGATAAACTTTCCTTAAATATCACCTACGTTTAGTTCCAGCTCAATCATTTTTTGCTTTAATTGAATTGGATTGTAAATACAGTACATTTGGCTTGGGATTGTTGGTTTTAGGAAACCGTGGGGAAAATGTGTGATGTTTGGCTATTGACATGATGATACACACAACCAATTAGCGAACCATGCGATTGGTCAACAAGTACGTTAAGCTAACATTCATGCTCACACAACTATCATGTTTGCAGAACATATCATGTCTTGTTACGTAGAGGAAAACATGTTTTAATATTAACACCATATACAGCGTAACACGGCAGACCGTCACGCTGCCACATGTTAACTACAGCTAATGCTAGCACAGCATGCTAACGTGTTCAAAAGCCTGGTTAAAGTTATACAAAGCAATAAAAAACAATTGACTTCTTACCATTTTGTTGTTAAGTAGTTACGTGTCGCGGTGAACACGTCGCAGGTGGAAACAGTTGGTAAAGACGCAGAATATTCTGTGTTCTTTGCTTGGGGCTAGGGTCGTTTCGATGTTGTTTTCCCCGCAGCCGATGTTTAGAGGAAGTACGTCATTCTGACGCGACGGGTTGACGGTTGGTATAATTTTAAAAGCTTTGACTTCAACTCATATTGAACCCCGTTAAATAAAAGCGGCGTTCTTTAAGAAATATATATACATTTAATTAATAATTTATGCATGCCTTTATATACTTATATTAAGCATGTTTACAATGTTTGGTTTTAACGGAACCGACCGACACGCAGTCTTGTTTCTGGGGATGTATTTCGAAGCCGTACATTATGAAGGCATGACATTTAGCGTCAATCATTAAATAGCGTTGTTTGTTATTTTGTTATAGAACACTTTAAAGCTTTAGTGTGTTACATTTTAAATTAATCTGCTCGTTATAGCCAAAGTATGCCTTCCTTCTCTTGTTATTGTGTGACGTTGTCCTCTTTTACTGCTAACGTTAATTATGTTGCTCCACGACGACTCGTCCGAAGCTCAGACTAATTCCGGAGAAAAGAAAGATGGGTGTCAGAGGCTGTCGGGCATTCAGCGGGATGGTTTGGGTAAGATGCACTCTGCCTGGCTAAGTGATGCCCTTTTATTTGTTTCCTTAATATCACGTTGACTTCGGGGTGGTTTTCATCTACAGGGAAGGTATTTATTAACAGCCGGGCTCCGGTGCTGCAGAAGTCCGGTGAGCTGTCACGTGAATCGGCGCTACAGCTTTCTGCCAGGTACGTTGTTTTCATAAATACATCCGTTCTAATCAGCTGTGGAAAAAGAGCGCAGCGTCAGTGATTCAGTCAGATCATCATCATTATTGTGCTTCACGTTTACTGTTACAGATGATGTCAAATCACTGAAGGCTGTGGTCAGTCGTGATATATCTAAGTAAGCTGAGTTGAATGTAATTGAAATGTACAGTTAGTTCTTTGAAAGCCGGTTTAGATGCAGTTCTGTGTTAACTCGTTTTCCGCAGAATCCGAAACATTGGTATCATGGCCCACATTGATGCAGGAAAGACAACAACCACAGAGAGGATGCTTTATTACTCTGGCTACACGCGAGCACTAGGAGGTGAGAAGAATGGATTAAAAACAAGATGAGGACACAGCAGATGTTCTCTGTTTTGGTCTCTTTAACTTACTTCTTCTCCTTTTGTTGCTTTCAGATGTGGACGATGGGGATACGGTCACAGATTTTATGGCTCAAGAGAGGGAGCGCGGCATCACCATTCAGTCGGCGGCCGTCACCTTTGATTGGAAAACTCATAGAATAAATCTCATAGACACCCCAGGTACAAATAACGTCCCTGTGAGAATATCCCCACCTAATGGACACGAGAAGCAGCATCCGCTCAAGTGGGACTGTGTGTGTGCGTGCGTGTGTTTACAGGACATGTTGACTTCACTCTGGAGGTGGAGCGAGCGCTTCGTGTTCTCGACGGGGCTGTCGCAGTGTTTGACGCTTCCGCTGGTGTTGAGGTGAGATCACCGCTTCCCTCCTTTTCCTCTCTTGTCATTGGTCGCACTTTGAACACGCTGCCTTCTGTTGCTTTGACGACACCGACAGGCTCAGACTCTGACTGTGTGGAGACAAGCAGAGAAGCACCATGTTCCCTGTGTTTGCTTTCTGAATAAAATGGATAAGCCTGCAGCAAAGTGAGTGACCAAACAGTTCATCCATTCATTTTGTACTTATTTCTCAAAAAGTACCTTTAATTATTAAACTTTTCTTTTTTTTCAGCCTTAGTTTTTCCATTGAGAGCATAAAACACAAATTAAAAGCCAACCCAGTCCTCCTCCAGGTGAGCAAAATGCCATTAAAGTACTTTTTTAAATGAAATGATAAGATTGTTATGCAAAACGTGTTATAAGCAAAGTTGGTACTCCGATATTTTACTTTAGTAAATGTGTAAATCCCACAGAGTAGAAATTCTCTCTAACAAGTAAAAAGTCAAGCATTAAAAAAAAAAAAGTATTCGCATTAAGAATGTCCATTAAGAACCTAAAGTATATGATGATTAAGGAAAATATCCCATTTCAGAATCATATACATACATACATACATTTATTGAGACATGTGTGGATTTATCACTTGATCCCGTTGTTAAAGCTAATTATGATTGTTCTATATACTGCTGTGTAGCTTTACCTGCAATATAATATTAGATTATTTTAGTATTTCTATAAAAAAAATCTAGCCGAACCAATAAAGAATGCCTAAAAAGTAATTGCAATTTTGTCCCCATGTAATGGAGATGTCCTTTCTGTTTCGTAGGTTCCGGTCGGCAGTGGCAGAAACTTCTCCGGTGTGGTCGACCTGTTAACCAACCAGAAGCTGACGTGGAAGCAAACATCTACGAGAGATGACGGACAAGTCTTTGAAAGCAAACCGCTCGATCGGTCGGATGACCCAGAACTCCTGCACGAGGTCAATGAGGCCCGGACAGCTTTAATTGAGCAGGTATGTCATGGTATTTACAACAGTATTAAGCGCTCTAAACGTTTAAATGTTCAGGATTCCTTGCTGCAGTCAATTCTGTTTCCGGTCACAGGTTGCTGATCTTGACGATGAATTTGCCGACCTGTTGCTGACAGATTTTAGCGACAATTTCGATGCCGTTTCCTCATCCAAAGTAAGTGTTGTATCGAACCAGAGCATAACCCCGTACAGTGACACCGTCACCCTGTTCAGCAGCGAGCCGTGCCGATGTGCCCCCAGCTACAGGAAGCCGTACGGCGGGTGACTCTGGCCCGCAAAGGCGTCCCGGTGCTCTGCGGAAGCTCTTTGAGGAACAAAGGCGTTCAGCCCCTTTTAGACGCCATCACCGCCTACCTGCCCGCCCCCGATGAGCGGCACCACGACCTGGTGTGAGTGAACAACCGACTCAGACGTCAGCTGATGATTTCAGCATGATTGGCGTCAACTTTCTGCATTCTAATACTGTTTTTATTGACATTCATTTTTGTACGTTAACTATTGTAAAGGTCCACAGCTGTGAGAGTCTTTTGTGACTTTGTTTCCAGGGGACACTAATAAGTGATGCACACAATGGGGCACGCTTGTTTTCATTGTTTTGGAAAATTAACAATAATGTTTGTTTTTTGGTTAACATCCTGATGCTCGCTTCAGATTCCTGAACCTCCCTCAATGGATGCAAGATTGATACACAAATAAACAAAGACTGAACATGCTTTGCTTTTATGAAACCCGTTGACCATAAACTGTGTTCATCACCCTACAGGCGGTGGTACAAGGACGACTTATGTGCTCTGGCCTTCAAGGTTCTCCACGACAAGCAGCGAGGCCCTCTGGTGTTCCTCAGGATTTACTCCGGGACTCTGAAGCCCCAAAGCGCGGTCCACAACATCAACAGGAACAGCACGTACGTAGCTTTGATCACCAGACGTAACGACGTGGGCCAAAATCTTTGCGGTGTGTTCAAACCTTTTTGCATCGTGTAGTGAGAGGATGAGCAGGCTGCTGGTGCCGTTTGCTGATCAGCATGTGGAAATCCCTTCCCTGACAGCAGGAAACATCGCCCTGACCGTGGGACTGAAGCAGGTAGAGCAGCATAGAAACACGAGATTCGCCCTTTTGAATGTTTTCCCATCGAAAAGCTTACTCATGTTTTCCACATTAGACCGTCACGGGGGACACTATCGTCGCCTCCAAGGCCTCGGCAGCAGCCGCAGCCCGACGAGCCCACAACGCCGGCGGGGCCGGGAAGAGGCCAGGGGAGCATGCCAGCGTGGTGCTGTCAGGGGTGGAGGTCCCCGATCCCGTCTTCTTCTGCACCATCGAGCCGCCCACCATGGCCAAACAGGCGGGTCAGTGATAGCGACCTGTAGCTCCGCTCCACGCGCTCCAGCAAGTGCTCGCTGACGCATTTCATTGTTCCTCCTCCCCGAAAAGACCTTGAGAATGCGCTGGGTTGCCTCCAGAGAGAAGACCCCAGTCTCAAAGTCAGGGTGGACCCCGACTCGGGCCAGGTAAGGGCGGGGGGGTCCGTTCAGCGGGAGCCGCTTCAACTGATGTCCAGAGTCCACTGATGTTCTCCGTCCTCAGACCATCCTGTGCGGGATGGGAGAGCTGCACATCGAGATCGTGCACGATCGAATCAGGAGAGAGTACGGCATTGAGACGCAACTCGGGCCCCTCCAGGTGGCCTACAGGGAGTCCGTCCTCCACGGGGCCTCGGCTGCAGGTACCCGCGGGGGAGGGGGCGCAAGCATTGCTCTCGCTTTGGTTCCTGTGTGAATTTTCCTTTGACAACTGTGCCGCAGACACGCTGGACCGCACCGTCGGCGAGAGGCGGCATGTGGTGAGCGTGGAGCTGGCCGTCGCACCTCGCGACCTCGCCGCCCCGGGTGGCTCGTGTGAAGTGGCTTTCACAGAGGAGTTGGGGGGGCAGCTATCGACGGAAATTAAGGCAGCGGTGGAGAACGGAGTGAACGGCGCATATCTTCAAGGTATCATTTCCTCCTGCAAACCTTTTTGTATTAGTATCATCATCAAACAGGGCCCGCTGCTAATCGCTTTCAACGCTCGCGTCCCCTTCAGGTCCATTGCTGGGTTATCCTTTACAGGGTGTAGCTACGTTGATCCAACGGGTCACCATGGAACCAGGAACATCTCCTGCCATGGTCTCGGCTTGCGTGTCCCGCTGCATGCTGAAGGTAAACCTTTCTTTAGGCTTCCTGTATTTACGCTTGAACAATACAAGATGATCGATGGATAATGAGACCGCAGTGTTTCTTTGGCCGTAGGCCCTGAGGCTGGCGGGAGGTCGGGTCCTGGAGCCCGTCATGTCCCTAGAGGTGACTGTCGGGGAGGAACGCCTCGGCACGGTGTTGGGGGACTTGGCCCAAAGACGAGGGACCGTCCGAGACATCCAGAGTCGCCACGACGACAAGGTGCTGCTGGCTACTGTGCCCCTGGCTGAGATGATGGTGAGATGCAGGTCACCTGTTGGTCGGTGGTTTTCGGGTTAATGGGCCACCCTGGTTTACCGTTCCTACCATTTTCGGTCTACAGGGATATTCCACCATCCTGCGAACAATCACATCAGGCAATGCCGCCTTCTCCCTGGAACTCGACACCTATGAGGCCATGAACCAGCAGGACCAGAGCAACCTCCTTAAAAGAGTTGCTGGTCTGCTGTGATCCCGGATTCTCAGTCACGTGACCAATAGCCTGGATAGCACCAGAACTTCATCAGGACTTGCTGTTAATACCAGACAAAATAAAATGCTGTTCAGAGAGCAAATATCCACCAGTGTACAATGTTTGTAGCTTAATTAACCAGTGTATACAAACAAGCCTTTAAGACTACTATGGAGCGGATTCTGAAATGATGTGTCCAATCGCATCCGTACAGGGTCATTTCTGATGAGGCATGTGAGGTCTTATTAAATGTTCTTTTTTCTGATAAGACAATTTTATTTGGACATTTTGTTAAAATGACTGCCGAAAAATACACTTGTTTCACACACACACACCCTTTGACAATATACAAAACAAATGTGAAAGACTTGACAAAATACTAAAAGTACACGTTGCCTAATTTATATTTAATGCCTTGTGATTCTGACTTTTTGAAGTTACTTGCAGACATACTAGACACTCACATGCCTGTGAAGATTTACTTTCATAACTTTGAACATACTGTCTAATAACGGGAGTCAAACACGGCCTGCTTGGTTAGGAATCCTCACCCGTTGACCAAATGGGAAAAAGTTTGAACATCAAAACAATGTTTGATCATTTTATTCAAAGATTCATAAAAAACAAAGCTTGCATTCATTAATTCAAAAGGTGTATGAAATTAGATGTGTAGAGTTTTGTAGCGCATTTAAAAATGCCGTTGTCTCTTGAATAGCATGAGTACAGGGACATTGGCATTTTGATCTCAGTTGATTCTACATGAATTTAATTCCCCTTCTGTTCCATTGGCCCCTCAGTTCTTCAGATACCCTTGTACTCCCGGGGACAGTAGCTAGAAAACAGTGGCTCAGCTGGGATCCCGCGCCTTGGGTGGGAAAAGATCATAAATACGTTAATGTCACATCTTTTGTCCCTCGTGCAAAGGAGACGCCCTTAAGCTGCATTAACATTCGGAACCAGCTGAATACGGGTGTGGAAACGAAAAGTGCAAAGACTACTTACTCCACCATGCGACAGCGATGCACAGAGAGCCGACTGAAGGCGTCGTTGATGTCCGTCACGTCCACGGCGCTCCACAGCCGCTCGCCCACAGCGCTCGCACGCGGCCTGGAGGACAAAACGATTGGAAAAAAAGGCCTGAAGTCATTTTGTGTGCCATGATCCATTAATTTCTGAAAATGTTTCACTAGGAAACCACATACCAGAGTCTGGGTGTCAGGTTGGTGGCGTCCACGTACTCTCCCCACAGGCAGGCTTCTCCACCAATCACAAGCTTCTTCTGTGCCTCAGTTCCTGTTGTGAAATGTGACACTTGATGAGATCAAGAAACGGCACCGCGCCACAACATTTAGTTCAGAAAATTTCATTTAATCGGGGATTTTCTGAAAGCAAAATTCTCCCACGTGTTCATTCAACAGGCTTAGACGCATCAGCACAGCGGTGACCGGCAACGACATGACACGTCACGCATGTTTCTGGAGTCAAACGTAGCGGATAAAAATCAGACCAACAACCAGGAGATGGGAGAGAGGGGAGGGGTCTCGCCAATTAAAATTGAATAATGCAGACGAACCCTTGAAATCCTGTGGGTCGGCCTTGTAATGGCCCTGCCAGTCCTGGCCGTAGGAGATACGGTTCAGGTACCAGGGAGTGGACAGCAGGGTCTGGAACCCCGATGATGTAACATTTGCCATCTCACTCTGGTATTGCTCCTGGTTTCCTTTCCAAACGTGGATAATCATGTCTGCTTTCAGCTACACAGCACACAGAACACACACCAGCAAGATGGAGGGGAAAAATGGGTTTGAGGGACGAAGACGAAAATGCCCGAGCCTTTTATCGCCATTTGTGTTTTGGGATTCTACTTAAAACGTAATCTTTAGGTGACTTGAAATCAAACCGGTTCGGTCCACGTTTACGGAAGCCCAAACTATTTTCTCCCCAGGACGCAGAGGATAAAGTGTACCTGCTTTTTCTTACTTCTACCCTCATTTAGTTCATCCAACCATTGTTTCAGATTCCCCAGGATTGTTCCTCCACCATGTGAACTACATCGCCTCGCGAATTAAACCATCAACCACCATCTTTCTCCTCGTCACAACTGTGCAGTTTAAGAGTAAGCCTGTTGAACAAAATCCACAATTCTTTTTTTTTTTGCCCAAATCAGTAATGTCCAAATAAGAATTCGCCACCACCAAATTAAAATGGCTTTTTTTTTTTATGGAAAGAAAACTGACCCTTGAAGTTGAGCGGCTCAACCTTGTAGTACTTCTGCCAGTCCTGTGCGTAGCTAATGTAATCTAGGTACCACGGGGCGGAGAGGATGGTGGTGTACCCCGCTGCCGTGACCTTCCCCATCTCCTCGTTCGCCCCGCCGCCGATCCACACATGCACTACCGTGTCCGGCTTTAACTGAAAATAGTTACACACCAAGCTACTGGATTCAGGATAGATGATGGATGGCTGCATGCTAAATATGAAGCTAGTTAGCTTTAGGCAGACAAAAAAAGAAAAGCTCAACAAGAACACAAATGACGTCTAAATGGTGATCAAGTATTCATCAGTCCAATTAAACTTGGTCTAGTCACTGATTGCAATTTCCAGATAAAAAAAATAAAATAAGATTTCTGTAGGGAAAAATTTAACTGATCCCAAATATTAGCAAAGAACCTGATAATGATCCTATATGGTTTATGGAAAGCCATTATAGTCAACACGCCTACTTATCATATAAAACTAGGCATTCATTTTGTTGAGCTACTCAAATTGTACTTGTTAGTATATAAAAGTTCATCATTATCCCCAACATCTAAATAGCAGTTACCTTAACACCGTTGTCAAAGACCTCCTGCCAGATCATGTAGCCCTTCTGCGTAGTGGCAACGATATCCAACAGTCTGAGATCACAAATGCACACAATAAATCATCACCACAGGTTTCTGCCTTTTGAATAAGAGATTGAACTTTGTGAATGAGACACTAATAACAAGTACGAAATGAGCAACACACTTTTGGATGTAGAATGACTCCAGTTTGCTGAAGTCCTGTCCGAAGCCTTGCTGCTCCATGAACTTCTGGATGTCCGGGTTCGACTTCCTGCAGGGAGAGAAAAATAAAAAAAAATCAGCCAAATACGATCTGCTTCCTCAAGTTCCTCAACTTGTTGAGCGCCGACTTACCAGCAGTTGAAGTCGACCTCGTCGCCCCCCAGGTGGACGTAGGCGTCGGGGAACACGCCGCTGATCTCCTTGAAGAACTTGCTCATGAAGTCGTACGTGGTGTTCAGGATGGGGTTCACTGGGCCGAAGGAGCCGGAGGGTTTGTCTCCAGAGTAACAGGGCGTGAGCAGGTCTTTCTGGCCTGAGGAGAAAGAGATACGTGCAGGTAGTCCTCAAAAACAAAGATGGCGGCGATGTCTCTCCATCGACACGATTTGAAACTCACCTTTACCCCAAGACTGGGTGTGTCCCGGCGTGTCAAACTCCGGGACCACGCGAATGCCCCGCAGGCGGCCGAACTCGATCACCATCTTCACGTCAGCGGGCGTATACACGTGCGTGTACGGGTGGTAAGCGCCCTGCCAACGTGTTTAATCAATTGTGGAGAGAAAATAAATAAATAAATACTGTTTGTATTAAAATGTCTCGTGGTTTTTGCGGAGAATGAATCACCAACGAGTCGTCCTTCTGACCTGCTGGCTGATGTGCGGGAACGTCCGGCTCATGTAGGGGAAGGATTGATCATCCACGATGTGCCAGTGGAAAACATTAAATTTGTTCATTGCCATTGCTTCCTTCGTAGAACAAAATAAGTTACAACAAAATAAGTATTTAAGCAGAGAATAAATAAATAAAATAAAATGGGAAAGCAAAATAAAACACATCTCATTGACGTACCAGATTAGCCAAGATGACTTTGATGGGCAGAAAATGCCGAGAGGTGTCCAGCAGGATGCCTCTATGCGCAAATCTGGGGAAGTCACTGATTGTTGTTGAATTGATGCTTTTCTGTAATTAACAAAAGTATGAAAATCAGCCTCAAGTTCATCATTGATGGAAAAGCGAAGAATTTAAAGTTGTTTCACTAACGGCTCCATATTCATCTTCATACACCAACTGGCTGAAAGTCTCCAGACCTGAAAGACACCAAAAACAGATTTATTATATCATAAAAAGTCATCATAAAAACAAAGAGTTGTGAGCAAAGTTCCTCGGTAACAAAAACACATTGACTACAACTTTTGATTTCGAAGTATTTATATGTGCAATAAGTTTTATGACAGCGTTTGTAATGCTTGGGAGGAACTCTGAAGTTTTTGATGAATGAATCATATGGAGATATACAGTTGAGCAAATTAAACCAGCTTTGCATTTTGGGAAAAATACTTGAGTGTGTGACAAAAAGATCGAAACCACTAAAGTCTGTTAAAACAAAATATTGAACTAGGCCTTCAAGCATTTCTGATTAATTGAAAGAGGAAATCATTAAATGCAGCTTTAATGCGGAGTTTGTGATCAGTCCTACCGCGCAGGGCTCCCCAGACCTTCGGTGCTTTCAAGACAGCATACGGCTGATCCACAGTCAGCTCATCTGCAGACACAGCGGTTGTGCATTTCATTGTCAGTGTAGTCAAAGCTCGGCAGGGGGTCATTAGGACACTTAAGGCAAGGTCTTAAGTCCTCAGGTGGGTGAAGGGGGGCTTTAAACATTAGGTCTACACGGACTGTTAATCCCAGTACCAGGTAATCTCTAACCACCGGTAAATCAGAGGTCCACAGCCTCCCTGGTTGTAAGGAAAAAGATAAAAAAATCAAAGTACACATCATTTAAATGAGGCGGTTACAAGTAAAATGTTGCATTCACTTACGTAGCAACTGGTAGAAGTGCATAATATTTTTGTGTCAATAACTTTCACTGTAACAGAAACTAAAATGTAGAACACAAATGACCCCCCCCCCCTAGAAAGGAAGAACAACAACTGTACTTTGTCACGTTGCAACACCATCAATGAGGAAGCGGCGGAACTCACATGACTCGTCCGACGTGACAGCGGGGAAGCGCTCACATTCAGAGTCAGCTGATACGATCAACACCTGCAGCTCCGTCAGCACCGAGGGCCCCGCTCGCCTGCCTTCAGCCCCATGCTGCACTCTGGAGCCCCCAAATATGTACTCGTAATACCTGCGGAGGGAGGGAAAGGGGCGCGGCGGTTACAGGTGCCCCTGAACGCACCGCGGCGCTTTTACAGTAAACGGGAAGCTTTCCTCACCTCCTGTACGCGTTCTGCAGGAGGCTGCAGCTCGCCCCCGAGCTCGAGCCTTTGGCGTCGGTTATTCGGAAAGTGACGCCGGTTAATTTGAACGAAACGTCGGAGATTTTCACCTTCTGCGGCAGGGGCCACAGGGAGCCGTACTTCGAAGCCGCAAAGACGCGCTCCGTCTCGGCCGACTCCTCGTAGTCGTCCCGGGGGCCGGGCTGCAGCCCCCGCGAGAAGCCGAGGGTCAGCAGCAGAAGCGCGAGCTGCAGAGGGGCGGTCATGCTGGCGGGCCGCACGGAAGTGTCACGAGACCCAACGGGCAACAGTGTAGCTTTATGTGCGGGGAACTGGGCGGGACTTCGGTGTTGTGCGGAAGTGCAGATTTAAGATTTAAAGGGGAAGCACAACCCCGACCGCCGTGTAGACATTTTCATTAGAAAATAACGAGGACGCTTATCGACATTTTCATTAGAAAATAACGAGGACGCGAAAAAAAGATGTATCTCTTGTGCAACAAGTAGTTGGAAACCTTCCCTTTTAAATTCTCAACATTATTTCTCATGTTGACCTAATATGTTTTCTACTTTGTTTTCAACTTTAGTTTTCGACCTCTTTTTCTTCTTGATTTTTTCCCCCTATATTTCGAGCAAACATATTTAGGTTTGTTTTCAAATTACGTTTTGATTAAATTTTTCTTTTTAGCTTTTTTCCATGACATTTTTTTCAAAAAATGGCATTTTAACTAAATATTTCTAAAACTAAAATATTCAACAAAAAGTTTTTTAATCACGTTTTTGGCCTAACATTTTTCAATACATTCTTTTTTGTTTTGTTTTCCAGGATATTTAGTACATATTTAGACTTTTAAAAAATCCTTTTTTTTTTACTATTTTTCATACTATTTTTGTAACAAGTATTCACATCATTTAGTTGGATATTTTTTCAAAACAGTTTTTGAACTTCTTTTCCATAACATTTTCTCACCTAATATTTGAAAACCTTGTTCGACCTAACATACTTATGTTAGTTTTTTTATTATTTTTTTTCATTTTTTTTTACCTTTCCTATTATTGTTCATTCTCAGATAATCTACTTTACTCCCAGGAATATTTCGACCACTAGGTGTCCCTCTTGTCATATTTATTGATATAAAGATGTTTATCTGCACACCACTATATCATTAATGTATTAACAGTCTGTATCTATGAGACAATTGAACACGCTGTTGATTTTTTTTCAACAGGAATCACTTTCTGGCCATTTTATTTTTTGATAGCAACGTAAATTGATTAATAAATAAAAAAGGACAATATTGAAAATACATCAATAAGGATATCTCTTATTTAATTTCTAAGCTTGTCTATTAGAGGTCTAAAAGTTGGACAGTTATAACTGACCCCAAACATTAATAACTCTGTTGTGTAGCACAACATACATTTAATTGTAACTGGATCAATCTTGGCAAAAAGAATCAACTTACATTTTACAAGCCCAGTTTTTTGGCAGTGGGAAGGGTTTTCATAAGGTCAGAAAAATATATTAAAGCAAAGATTGATTGAGCAGATGTTATTTTTACACAAACCACAGGGGGGTCTGTGTGAGCTCAACAACCACGAGGAAGTAAAATCAATGTTAACCAGAAGACAAGGTTAATAATTAAATGAATTATTCCCCAGTCCCAGCTTTCAGTCTTTGGCACTTGTTGCAGGAACATTTCGTCCACTAGATGTCTCTCAGGTCACGTACGGATGTGAAACACAACATGCCATAATAACCTTTTCTCCATAATACACTTCGGAACACTGTGCTGTAATATGCTGGATATGAAGATACAGTAACAGGCTAATTATTGTCGTCATAAAAACATTCAATGGTAAAAGAAATGTGTCACAGCCCTGATCACTGCAACACAAACACATAAAAAACAAACACAACACGAACATTACAGCCTCATTTGTTCACCGTCAAGTTTAGTCACAGCCAAGTCTGGTCAACAAGGCCTCCAGAAGTGACTCAGACAAGATGACCGGGGATAAAATTAGACTTCCGGTTCCCAACTAAAACCAAGCCCAAAGTCTTTATAATCCTATGGGATTTATGTTGCATCCATTGCATTCAGTGAAGAGTTTGCTGTGACTCAGTCCAGCTTTATGGTCTTTTCTACATGGCATTGTTATTAACTGTATAATTAGAGCTCATTTATTTAAAATCCTGACACAAACAATGCATTTAATCTGCTTCATTTTAAGAGTGTTTACATTCAACTCCTGTACACTGTAAAAAGAAATTGAGGCTTTTGTTCATTCAACTAATTTCGAACAAAAAATTCAGGGTTACTTGAAATATTAAGTTCAGCGGTGCTCACCTTATAGACACAATTGTAATAGTGTACTAATACCCTAACATCATTTGGTAAAAACAACAAAGCTGTTTTACATCCTGTGTCCTTTAACCCTTCCTCTCCAAAGGGAGAAAATCTCTCCTCCCCCAAAAACTTGCAGAGGGAACAAAATGGAAGAGGGGGCCTCACAGTACTTCTCTCATTGTTAAAACACTGTCCCATGTAGTAATGTATTACTCACAGGGGCCTACATCTGGGAAGAATTCACATTTTTATATTGTTATATTGGTACTTTTACAAACAAAGTACCACACTTCCCCCAGGTACATGTATGTTAAAAAGAAAATACTAACTAAAATACCTCAGCGTCTTAATCTGGCAGTGATGTATTTGTAGTATTTGCGTGGGAGGAAACTCCAGCCTCGGGAGACAAACTGTTCTTCCACATCTTTCCGCATATTCTCCCCCCCCCCCCTCTCTCTCTCTCTCTCTCTCAGAATTCATTTCCTGCGCGCGGACGGCCCTCCCCCTCTCAGCGTAAACACACCCATCGATCCGAGAGAGAGAGAGAGAGAGAGGGAGGGAGGGAGGGAGAGAGAGAGATGTGGGAGCGCAGGAGGCGAACCGTCACACAGGAGCAGAGCCGGAGCGCACGACCAACGCCTCCAAACGACCCATCCTGCGCGTCAAAGCCCGTTTACTCCACCATTAATGTGCGTAATCCCCAAATTCCAGACAACGCAGATTAGTGTGTATTCTGAGGGGTGGAAAAAACAACAACAACAACCCGGCTTCGCCCCCCCCCCACAACCGATTATCCAGCGCAATTTCGGAAATAACCAAAGGAGAGTTGTTACACTCCCCGAGCGCAGAGGCATCGTGGCGGTTTCAGAAGGGGCATGTTCGAGCGACACCGCGGACACCAGCGAACTCCTGCTTTCACCCAAAGAGGTACGTTCCGCGGCGACGTCACACCACCTGTGCGCGCGTATCGGAGGATACGCGGCATCAGTAACGGCGTCACATTCCGGTCACCCGGTGGTGCAAAACTCCGGCGTTGTGGCGCAGAAAGCGCAACAGAAAAACCGGAGCCCGCGGATAAGAAAAAAAAAAAAAAAAGACATTTGTTGAAACCCCCTCGATTATTTCTCTACAGTTTGATTGCTGCGCCCGCGCGTGTCTCTACTCTCCCCCCGGCTCCTTTGTGCTCTCCTCGCCATCGCGTCGCTGCGTGCAGATATACGCGCGTTCGGGAGGTTTGGGCATGTTGTGGTTTTTTTTTTTAAAGGCGACATCAGGTGCGGCTCGCTTTGTTTTCAAACACGGTGTCACCCTCAGCTGAGACGCCTCGGGACCCCCCCGGGAGGGGAGGGGGGCTGAGACCAACATCGATGCACATCAATTGCTGCCGTTCGCATCCTCTTGTTCTGCGTCTCGTGTCCACAGGCAGATGTACAGGAGTGGCCCACATAAGCCCGGTGTTTACTTTAGGAGTCTCCCCCCACCGACCCCCCTTCCTGTGTCCACGGTTGACTGTGGACACCTGGCAATGATTGTGGACAGACTGCAGCCAGCCAGGCCTCAGCTATGGTGTCCAGAGGCGGCGTGGCTTTTCTCTCCCCCCCCCCGCTCCTCCCCGTGTGCTCTGCATGCGCTTTGCTGGTATGCGCCCGTGGATGTGTTTTCTGTGAGGGGGGACTATTCTCCCACAGCCATCCTGCCATGTTTCCTTCCTCTCGGGGCACGTCGGCGTTGAAAGCACTGACTAAGCACACGTTGCAACACCACAAGGATTAATCAGCAATACTAATGATGACAGATGATTCAGTAGCAGTTCAATTTAATTAACAATCGATAGTGATTGGTTTTCATTATTAAACTGTTCATTTGTTGTCAGAAATGTAATGTAAAAACATTTAAAAAAAACTTCCCAGAGGCCGGATGACGTCTTCAGGCTTCTTCAAACCAACACTGCAGTTTTTCATGTGATGAAATAAAGAAAAACAGGCAAACCCTCATATTTGGGAAGCTGACGTGCATGTGTAGCATTTTTTAAGTGACTGAAAAAGTTGAACTAATTGATGAATGTTCCCGCTGCAGTGGCTTCATGCTGATGTACGAGGCTTCTACTTGTGTTTCCCTATTTGTATTTCATGGTGCGTGAGATATGAATGCAAACAACCTCCACGATGCGTAACAAACAGTCTCACTGTAACACCTGACCGTAACCGGGGGAAGTCAACGGGGTAAAAAATTGATTTGTTTACTGTCATTTGAAGCAAATATAAAACTGACGGTGAGGGATAACAAGTAATCATCCAAAACTATGACGACTATTCAAAGTGCTCCTCAATGATTAACAGCACGCGGACAACGATTAACAGCTATCTTAAATTTTTACGTGATCGTTTTTGCATTTAATCACAATGTTCGGTCTATCCAAACTGAAATCGCATGTTTTCACCACCTGTCAAGTGAAAAAGATATTCAGTGCATAGACGGCAAAGAGGCTGGTTCCAGTGAACGTTGAATAACACACAAAACAATTCAGCAATCATACGGCTCTCGATCAACCACGTTTTCGAACACAAGACATTAATATCAGCCAGTCGGTCGTCAGGAATCTTGTTACTTTGGGGATTATTTTGCCCGCCTTGGGTTGACAATGAGCAACCAGATTAAGGTTATATGGGATGAAGTAATCTGCTTTCCCAATAAGCCGTGTTTACAAGTGTTATTGTCCTTAGGGATGTGTGGTAGTTTGAAGAAAACCCGTTTACATTACGGGCAAATGGTCTAAATGGATGTTTACCATCATGGCGAAAAAGGTTCATGTGAGAAGATAGTGAGAGAACTTTGTTTACGCCTTTAGAGATGCAGAAATGTTCACAAATTAGGTTTGATCTTTTTCACATTTTCACTATTTTCCAGTGTTTTTCTGCCGGTCAGCCGTTGAGGGTTATTTACAAGCTAATTAGTAGCATCTGAAGAATCTCTCGCATGTTGAGCCTGATTTATCAGCTCCACATATTCAAAATGACACAACCTCCAATTATAAAAGACGAGCGGCGCTACCAGGACTGTGTGTGTGTGTAGGAGGTGTGCAGGTGACAGACTCGGGATAAGCGAGGATATTCTCATTATAGCCGACCCAGAGGCCACAAGATGACGGGTTGCCGGTTTTGTCAGTCCTGGAATGCAATAAATCCTTTCCAACCACGGTAGCGGCTGCTTTGGTACTAAATCAAGTTGTGATAAATGGTGATGACAACGTCAGCGTGCTAACGTGTATGACGACGACAATGCTGACAGTATTTTTGAGATGAACAGCTGTTAATTGCAAGATTTTAACCAACTTCTACAAAATCAAAATGCGTCGTTGGAATGCAGTGCAGGTAGTTTGAATAGCTCACCGCCAACACGGGTCGTGTTTCCGCCATCGACATCTGCACCTCGCCACTAACCCGCGCGTCCCGTAAGCAGCTGGTTTTTGGAGTTAGCTTCCTTGGAATTTAGACCCACCCCTGGAATGTTTTACATGTAGCATGTACACGTGTCAGCGACGGCGCTCAGCGGAAAGCCCCGTCGGACTCATTCATTCATGCATGCGGGCGTCAAACCTGATGAGGTTGTTTGAGCACGTGATGCAACTCAAGCTAAAGAGAAACCGTGCTCTCATCTCCACAGGTGGGTCGCAGGGGAATCGTCCACCTGGGAAGTAATTAGGATACTCGTCCATAATTGGTCTGGAGATTTATCGTTCCTTAAACCACTGGTGTGTCTGAGGTCTGACAGCTGTGGATTTACAAGGTCAGACGGAAACCTCTGGGAGGAGGAACTTAACTAGTGTGGAAATTGGGTGGAGTGAACGTGGGATGCGAGCGAGGACGGGGGCAAGTACAGCGATGGCGGGAGCTGGGACCTTTTGGAGGGGAGTAGATTCCGCGCATTAGGCCTCTATTCTGAGGTTTAAAAGAGCATCGCCGTCTCCTTTCTTCCTCTTTATAAAAAAAAAATCTCTGCAAAGGGACTATTACTCGTAAATCGTGGTCTCTCTAAAACAGGGGGGGGGGGGGATTAGTGACGCTTTAGGGCTGGAATCAGAAAATCCTTGAGGTCTCTGCGAGAAGGCAACTGTTATCTTCTTGACCTTCAGAACCCCCACGCATGTGCTGTTGTGAAACTTGTAATGACGGTATCTCTTGCTAAATGCCCTTTTATCTCTTAGGAAAGATTGCAAATCTCCTCAAAAATGCACGTCTTCCATCGTATAATGAACATTAGGACTGAAGCATTTGAGATTTTACCATGAATATCACCTTGTGCCTCTATAGTATTCAGCTGAGAACGCATTTTATCTACAAACCTGTATAACCAGAAACACTTTATCTTATCAGTGGCACAAAATTTAGTGAATGATGGGTGTTACATTGATGCAACACTTGAATGATCTAACATTTATTACCCCTTATTGTCTTCTTGACAGCAACCGACTCCCATATAATTGCTGAAAGCTCGTCTCCCCTTTCGGGGAAACTCATTATTATGAAGGTGAACTCGAAGTATCTGTGTTGTTGTTTTAACAGAGGACGTCTGTCCTGTTGTGCTGATGGAACGTTATTGGACTTCTTTAGAGGGGGAATGAGGCTGTTTGTCTGACTGTATTTACTGGGACTCATATCGAGAGGCCCTCTTGAGATGACTCACCATTATAATGGAAGATGAGAATTCCAGGACTGAAATACACCTTAATGCACCTTAAATACGAAAAACGCATTAAAGAGAGATTTGTCTTGTCCTTTCTCTTTCTCAGGATTCAATGAAAATGTCCGTGTGCGTGCATGAGAACAGAAAATCCCGAGCCAGCACAGGCTCCATGAACATCTACCTGTTCCACAAGTCCTCCTATGCGGACAGCGTCCTCATGCACCTCAACTCGCTGCGGCAGCAGCGGCTCTTCACGGACGTCCTGCTCCACGCGGGGAGCCGCTCCTTCCCGTGCCACCGCGCCGTGCTGGCCGCCTGCAGCCGCTACTTCGAGGCCATGTTCAGCGGCGGGCTGAGGGAGAGCACGGCCAGCGAGGTCGACTTCCGCGAGTCCATCCACCCGGAGGTTTTAGAGCTCCTGCTCGACTACGCGTACTCATCGCGCGTGGTCATCAACGAGGAGAACGCCGAGTCCCTGTTGGAGGCCGGCGACATGCTTGAGTTTCAGGACATCCGGGACGCCTGCGCCGAATTCCTCGAGCGAAACCTCCATCCGTCCAATTGCCTCGGCATGCTCTTGCTGTCCGATGCCCACCAGTGCACCAAGCTGTCCGAGCTCTCCTGGGGCATGTGCCTCAGCAATTTTCCCGCCATTTGCAAGACCGACGACTTCCTCCAGCTGCCCACAGATATGGCGGTGCAGCTGTTGTCACACGAGGAGCTGGAGACGGAAGACGAGAGACTGGTTTATGAAGCTGCCCTTAACTGGATCAACTACGACCTGGAGAAGAGGCACTGCCACCTTCCAGAGCTCCTGAGGACTGTCCGTCTGGCCTTGCTGCCCGCCATCTTCCTCATGGAGAACGTCTCGACAGAAGAGCTGATCAATTCCCAGCCCAAGAGCAAGGAGCTGGTGGACGAGGCCATCCGATGCAAGCTGAAGATCCTGCAGAACGACGGCGTCGTCAACAGCCCGTGTGCCCGGCCCAGAAAGACCAGCCACGCCCTGTTTCTTCTGGGAGGTCAGACGTTCATGTGTGACAAGTTGTACCTCGTGGACCAGAAAGCCAAGGAGATCATCCCCAAGGCTGACATCCCCAGCCCCAGGAAGGAGTTCAGCGCCTGCGCCATCGGCTGCAAGGTGTACATCACTGGTGGGAGAGGCTCAGAGAACGGCGTGTCCAAAGACGTGTGGGTTTACGACACCGTGCACGAGGAGTGGTCGAAGGCGGCGCCGATGCTCATCGCCCGCTTCGGCCACGGCTCGGCAGAGCTGAAACACTGCCTCTACGTGGTCGGCGGTCACACGGCGGCGACCGGCTGCCTCCCGGCGTCCCCGTCCGTGTCCCTCAAACAGGTGGAGCAGTTTGACCCGGTGGCCAACAAGTGGACCATGGTGGCTCCGCTGAGGGAGGGCGTGAGCAACGCGGCGGTGGTCAGCGTCAAGCTCAAGCTCTTCGCCTTTGGCGGAACCAGCGTCACCCACGACAAGCTGCCCAAGGTGCAGTGCTACGACCCGCAGGAGAACCGGTGGTCCGTGCCCGCGTCCTGCCCGCAGCCGTGGCGCTACACAGCCGCCGCCGTGCTGGGGAACCAGATCTTCGTCATGGGCGGCGACACGGAGTTCTCGGCGTGCTCGGCTTACAAGTTCAGCAGCGAGAGCTACCAGTGGACTAAAGTGGGGGACGTGACGGCCAAGCGGATGAGCTGCCAGGCCGTGGCGTCGGGGAACAAACTGTACGTGGTGGGCGGGTACTTCGGCACGCAGCGGTGTAAAACGCTGGACTGCTACGACCCCACGCTGGATTCCTGGAACAGCATCACCACCGTGCCGTACTCGCTCATTCCCACCGCTTTCGTCAGCACCTGGAAACATCTGCCCGCATGAGCCCCAGGCCGCGTGCCTGCATTCTTTCCACGAGGTAAGTTTGGCTGCTCATTATCCGACTGCGAAGATGCCGCACATAGAACATTACACCAAACATTTGGCGGTTGAGTTACAATGCGCTAAATTCAGGCCTGTTATCTAAAAATCTAAAACATTGATATTTAATTGAATTTTACTATATTTAATGTATAGTTTTTGGTATTTATTTGTTTGTGAATTAATCAGAATTAAGACAGAATGTTAGTATTTTGACTGTACACACAGAAACACACACACACTCACATCTATAAATATAGATAAATTGGCAGATATTCTATTTACCACTTTACATCCATACGATTTTGGCTGTGATGTTTCCAATCTGTCGAAGGTAAATAGGTCAAATTTATACAAAAATACAGGTTCCCTGAACTCTTCTCAGAAGGCGAGCGGTGGTGTGGGTGGGGGGGCACTGGAGGAGGGTGGGTGTGGGGGGATGATAGCGGCCTGTGTGCATTAGTTAAGTGAGTTATGTGGCTGTGGGGACGGGCCGAAGGACAGAGAGGGTAATTGAAAGAGAATAGGATACTTTTATTGCTCCTGTGGGGGAAATCCCTCTAATAGGAAAAAGGGGCTCTGCCAATTAGACAAGCCACACATCAGCGGGCTGCAACGCCCCGGCGGGGCTAATCCACCCTCGGCCGCCTTCCCTTGACGAGGTTACGGCGTCGGAAAGCCATTCATCACAGAGAGAGAAACGGCGCGGCGCAGAGGGTCGTGTGATTTGGGGAGCAGCGTCCACGCTCCGTGCGTTGACCCCGCGTGACCTTCCTTGCCCCGGTCCAGGCCCTGCCCTCCGTGCCCTGGCGTTAAGCGGGTCAGCTACGCGTGTACAGTAGCGGCAGCCGGCTCGGCGGACCGCTCTCCGTGCCATAGCCCCCCCCCCTCCCCCGATCACGTCACATCGGACCATCGCTGCGCCCGACGTCCCCACGCAGCCCGTCTTTTCCACCAGGCTGAGCTTATTGAAAAGGAGGCCGGGGGGGCCTCTCTTCGGAGAAAAGCCGAGGAGAGAAGCGTGCGACTCTGTCGCTGTCCGGCGCGGCAGCGTTTCCCATTTGACAACGCCAGGAAGCGGCTCAGAGCGGCTCTCCGCTGCCGCAATAACGCGACGTTCTTCCTCGCCGCGGGGATGAAATATTTGCTGAGACTTATTATTCCCTTTCTTCTCTGTGACTCGTCCCTGAGAAGTAGAGACTAGTTGGAGCTATCGCTAAGCCGATGCAACACAGCGCTCGGTGAGGGATATAATCCCGCCACTAATTTGATACGCCGTTTGTTTTTGGTGCGCCGGCCTGTCATGGCAACTGGCAGTCTACTCGCTGGGCGCATTAGTGAAGAGACGAAATGTGCAGGAGCGGAAAAGGAGGCCGACTGTTTAGGAATGAAAGGGGAAAGGAAGTATGCGAGACCTCACAGAAGGAGATTGTAGCGGAGAGAAAGAAGAAGTTCCCTCTCCAGGTTTTTTTTTCCCAGGGGAGCAATAGAGCGATTTTGGTTTTCTTCGCTCGGAGAACGTTCAATCGGGAGAAAATCCAACAACGCAGATTCTTTCCCCGCCTCGCTTTACGCGGCGGCCCAATTTCAGGAGCATCTCGAGAAGTAACCGAAAAGAAAGGAATACATTCATTTAATATGTTCACATTACAACAACAAAATTGCAGAACAAATGTAGCATCACAACACCGCTCCACACACTTTGGTGGTCTGACCAGCTTCCCGTGGCACTTCCAGGAAATGGAAATCATTTGGCATTTCGGTAAACGCACTTTTTTTTGGTTTTGTTGCTGGGACGATGATCGATACGGAGCTCGTCACGTTTACGTCCTCTGGCAACAACGGCGAGGGAAGGACTCACGCCGGCCGAGATGTGTTATTACATTCCCATCAGCATCACAGAGGGCGGCCAACTCCGGAGCCACCTGCGCTGTGCAGATAAGGCCTGCGTGTTTAGTAAAACGCTTTGAACGGTCGGAAAAAAAACACACCCAGGTGTGAAAAGCCTAGTTGGATGAGGGCGAGATGAGGAGATGATAAAAGGGCTGCAGTGAGTGGGCGGAGTCGAGCAATCGGCAGGAGATACAGAGCGGAAGAAAGCAGGAACTAAAATGTTGAGAAAGTTGCAAAGTGCACCAGGAGGCTTCCTTTGAGTCATTAATAATCCATATTTATCCTGTTGAGTGTTTTCTCTGCTCGTTTTAACCGGCTCTTCTTCATCTCCTCTCCTTCAGATTCCACTTTTTTTTTTTTTGTCTTTATCTACTGGACTCCAACTGTGAAGAAGCACCCGTTATCTTCCTCTAAAAAGAGACGCTGAGCCGTATCCGCCGGACAGCCGCGGCGTCCATCTCGACGTGGCAGAGGCTGGAACAAAAGACGGGGGACGCTTTACTGGAAAGCCGTCGCCTCATTTTCACGAGAAGGAGGCGGAGGCTCGCCGATCACAGATCGCGGGCAAAAACGAGCCAAGCAAACGCCGAAACCGTGTGCACATCTGGCATCAGGCTTCCACGCTGCAATATGAGGACTGCAAACATATCACGCGACCTGCATTTTCCCCAATTAGTGACAGAAGGCTCGTGAGGCTTCGTATTGATGTTTTTCTCTGTGATAAAAAAAAAAAAAAAGTCAAAAACAAAAAATACTCTTTTCATTAAGGCTGCAATGTATAGCATGATGGATGTTCTATTAATATCCAAGGAGGGAGAATGCAATGAACGGTGCGCTAAAGAAAACAGGACTCAGTTTGACTGAATGTAGCTGATTTACAAAAAACACAATGAAGGAGCAAATCTCCACCTTCTCTTCTCTAATAGGCTTTTTTTTTGTTTGACCCCTTGTGACTCTTTACTTCGCCGACCCTGAAAACAGCAAACCTACGAGCGTTCCTCCTATGAATTTCGGGCTTTGGCAGTTTTCTGTCACTGCGAGTTCGACGCGTTGACGACCAACACCAGCTGAAGGATCGAGGAAGGCCGCGCTGCCCGCAGGGTCGCGACCTTACGCGTTTTGCTGTTTTTCCCAGCTACGCATTAGCGGCCCTTTTCCAGTTAACCAACCCCGCTGCTGCGCTTCAGACACAACGCCGTCACATTTTTCGGCTGCGGATGCCGGGCCGGCTGCGCTCGCCGCGGTCCCGGTGAAAGCAGTTGCTCGCTCGCTGAGTCATAGCTGAACCCTCGCTGGAGCACGTCCACCCGTAGTGGCCATGAACTCTTCTCTGTGGTCACGGAAATCTTGTCACCTTAATCTAAACTGAGAACACATCAGTTTCTCTTTAAAACTTGCTGCAATGTAGTCTTAATTTATATGACAATGCTTGCTCTGTTATGTTAATATCTTTAATCCTATTTATTTCTACTCTGCCTGCGTTTTCATGTGACTGTATGTTGGGGTTATGTCATGCATGGCCAAGTGTTTTTATCTCGGTTGGGCTGCATTTTGCACAATTCCGTCTTTCCCAGGAGGACTTTTAACTTCTTTTACAAGAGTATGTATGGGGGGAGGAAGAGTCCTGACGGTGGGGAGCAGTTGAGGCCGCAGGGGTTCGCTGCCCCGAGGAGGGAGGCCGAAGGGGGTGAAAGAAATTTACATTTTTCATTTTTAAAGACACTCTTTGAGCTCTAACGTGGGTCCAAACCCGTCTTGAATCCCCGACAGAACCAACAAAACACAAGATTATGAACCCTAAGAGCTGCTGGTAGGACATGGTAGGAATGGGACAGTCTTTGCAGCTGTCCGTGAGACAGCTGGAGGAGTGTCTCATGTACAAACTTGTTGACCCAGAGTCCTCTCCACCCTTTGGTTGAGAAAGAGTTGAATCCAGTAAGCTGTGCATTGATAAGGGCAGACACCGCAGTGCTTTTCATCATAGTGTCAATGATGCACAAAAAAAAAAGAAGAAATAAAACATTGCAAGTTCCCAAAAACCAAAAAGAAAGATTGTCTTAAACACTTGTACATGAACTATTTGGTGAGTCTTAAGTCCAGTGTTTTTGTCTCTGTGTCTGTCTCTGTGACCTGACGTTTTACAATTGAATTATAATGAAACCGCTTGAATTTCAATGTAAGGGGTAACGTGTATATATTTCTTTTTTTTTCAAATGTCCTTTCGTGCGTATTCATCAAACAAATACGATCTGTTATGGCACGTTGATGAGCTGCTCTGTAAATTGCCGCTAAGCCACCCCAAAATGTCATCCTTTCATTGGCCGTCTCGGGGGCCTCTGTGGAGACCCTCGGGGCTCCGTAATGGTTGACCTGCTCCGGCCACTGAAAACAGACCCTTTGGCCCCATCAATCAGATCGGAGCATTTATTTCCCACGGAACGCCCGGTCTCCCTGGCAACAGCGAGGAATGAATGCCCCCTCAATTTGCACCTAATTGCCGGGTGGCATTTCCCGCTCCTCCTTTTGCTCTTCGCTTATCCTCTGTTTTCTCTGGAAGTCCATCTGGCTCTAATAGGAGCAAAGTATCTTGCCCGGGCATAATGATGTAAACGAGACAGATGCCTGTCAACGCGCGCCGGGTTTCATTTTTCTTTTGTCATGTAAGAATTTAATTTCTATTTTTTATGGCATTATTTTGTACATTCTTTTCACAATGTGAAATTCATGGCTAATAAACATAAGAGTTTTTTCCTCTTGACTGTAAAGCGTCGCGTCTCTGTCTTCGGCGCGGAGAACGCTTTGTCTTTACGACATGTTTCCCATATCCAGGCAGCCAAAGTGACCCGAGGTATTAGAGGCAGTACATCATGCGCACGGCTTTTGTTCTGTGGAGGAGGGACTGAAATCATCTTATCTATCTGCCTCCGGCTTCTAAGAAAAACAGGCAACAAAAAAAACCCGCAGCCAGATACTTTCCCTTTCTCTGCGGAGTCACCTTGGCAACGGAAACCTTTATCTGCAAACTGTGGGGGCTGGAGGAGAACACAAAATCTCTCAAAAAGCACCGCTCTCCTCTCCTTCCTCCCCTCTCGCTTCCTCTCAACAGTTCCAATGGGGTAAAAAAAACAGTCTCGCATCTCAGTCGTGAGTGACTGCAGCTACTTGCTGCATTCCTCCAACGGCGATGGTCAGGCCTGTTCAGTGTCTGCGCCCCTTCGCTCTGACGAGACCGCTGACCGGGGTCACTTGAGGCCGAGAAACACCAGCTTCACTGGATCCAGACCCTCACAAACAGAATGCGCCCGAACACTGACGACGGGTGTGGTGTGGGGGGGGGGGGGAGGAGCTCGAGAGATAAACAAATATCTTGACGGCTGTCACAATATTTGCTGAGCCGTTAAATATGGCGTCTGCGTTATTTCAAGATAACTTTGTCGCAGGGGGAGTTTTCTGCAGCCCCTGTTTTTTTCTCCGGCCGACAACCGGGGGTTGACTTACGATGTGAAATGTGGGAGCGCTGTGTGCGGGAGGCCCCTCGGTGACCCCGTGTGATCCAACAGCCCCCCCCCTCCCCGCCATCAATCTAGACAGGAAGTTGAATTTCCTGTCCGCCAGGAAGAGGGTCTTATCCGCCCACATCCTGCACAGAACACACAGCTCTGAGTCCTTTGGGCACCGCTGGCTCGGCTGGACGGACTGAGGTCCGGCGTTCTGTGTGCGCGGCGGAGCGCGATGAAAAACAATGTGCCCACATGTCGCCGTCGCCTGGCAACACAGGCTTTTAGCCGCCAATCAGTCATGCGAACGCACACACACACACAGGCAGACAGAGCCGCTACATGTGAAATAAGCGGCGTCCATACGATACAGCGCCAGGATCGGTGTGGCTAATAATTAAAGGAAAGATGATACAAGCGGTCAGTGCATGATGCGTCAGGGATGCTGAGACGAATATGACATTTTATAACCAAACATTCTAAAGGTTCTTTTATTTTTCTGTCAACAAATTAAAAATTGCATAGTACAAAAGAACCCCTGATGAAATGACCAATTCATCTTTTCCTTTCACTTTAAACCACAATTTCTCAACACTGAAGAAGAAAAATATAGAATATTCCCAGAATGTTTCTTTTTTTAAATGATCAGGTATGCACATGACGACCTTTATTAAATCTTTGTTGCGCAAAAGTATTGCATGGTCTGTAAATAGTTTGTCATTAGATTGCACACACACACACACACACACAATTACACAATACGGGCAGAAGAGACCATAACCTCGAGGATTTCTGAAGATTTCATCAGCTGGGTGGAGGTGCAGGTGAAGCCGGGTGAGCCTTTAAGCTATTCCCCTGGCCATGAAATAAGGAAATCAAAAAGTGGTACCATGCAGGGTGGAGCTGGTTCAAACCTTTCCACACACACACACACACACGCACAAATGAAAGGGCCGTCCAGCGGGCAGCGATGACCTCTGAGTGACATCAGCATTCAGACGCAGGCCGATGTGTCACAGGCCGCTGTGTGGCTGTCAGCTGCGCTGAAATGAAATTTAAAGCAAGGATCTTCTCCTTGTGGAAAAGTTCACTTTAAATTTAATCCGCTTTTTGATGCTACCTCTGCCCATCTCTATTTCTGCTCAGAGTTATTTTAAACGTGTTACCTGCTTTGAAATGCCAATGCTTTAAAGACCTTTCAAAAGCCCCACAGCCGGCTTATCTGGACCACGAGGCCGACTCGTGGAGGTAGTAACACACCGAGGAAAAAAATAGCGTCCGCCGGACAGCCAGAGAAAGAGCCGCGCCGATACCGAGGGATTTATAAACCCTCCCTTCATCGGAGCTCCCATTCACCCGCTGGGGGGGGATTCTAAACCGTTGTTTGTTTCCAGTTGCTCAATATTCCGTTCTATCTCTTAGTATTCTTAACTGTTTTATTAAAAAAAAATCCATTAGTCCTCTGCTTATCCTCCGCACCGCGCGCCCCCCCCCCACCGCCGTTATCGTGAGAAGGCTGAATGAAAGTGGATGAGAGGTAATTAAGTCTAAGGAGGTCCGCTCGAACGCACAAAGGCTCCTCTCTTCTTCTTCTCCTCATTCTCTGCCCCCCCTCCCCCCCCCCCCCTTTGTCTCTCACTCGTGTCATTACTGCGGCCTCCTCCCTGGATGATCCCGCTGACCCGCGTGCTTAAACTCTGCGGCTATCCGAGGAAAGATCCCCTGCCGATCGTTGTTGCTCTGCAGCCGCCAGCTAATTTACGGCTTGAACACCACCTGAAGTGATTTTCCATCCGATGAGGACATTTGGAAAAGCCGCTAATTGAACACAAGGGAGCAACAAATACGTGACCGACCTTGACCACGTTCCTCTCGAGCACTCGGAGAAGATCTCCACGGGCTTTCTTACAGGAAACAAACTTAAACTTAAACGAAAAGGTGGATATTTTGTGTAATATGCTTATTTGCTTTCTAGCTACACGAGAACATTATATACAGCACTCTCTCGCTTTGAAGCTAGCAGCTTAGCTTAGCATAAATGCTAGCTTCGGTCACAAGACAGATGCTCCGCTGAACAGCTGCGGTTTGTGTAGCTTCATACTTCAGTATAAACTGTTCCATGAAGTACAAACGTCTGAGCTCTTTCGCTACTTGTTATCGTACTTTGTGCTTAGGAGGTCAATTGTTTACCATCTTAGTTTGGACAAAGACAAAGTGCCGACGACCAGGAGGCTGAAGTGTTGTGTTAAACAACTCGCTCCGTACCTGCACGCTTCAACCCTCCTGGAAACAAAACTCTCATTTTTTCTGACTGCTGCAGATTTATGAGTCAGTGAATAAAAACAGCACTTCACCCTGTGGATATCCTGCAGCTTTATCGGCCTTTATGTTGATAAGATGTGTTTGGGGGTCATTAGAACATACTTATTAACCGCTAAGGGGATGCTTTTAGGGCCACTTAGCTTACCTCAGCAATCTCGGGCTTATCTCATTGCTGCAAACCGCAGGAAGATGAAACGCCGCGCGGCTTCACGAGGTAGAAGTAATAACAGTTTGGGGGTGAGTCACTGCAGGCGGTGTGCTCATAACATTGGTTACGTTCCCTTTGAAATGAGCTTGTTGGGTCTTTTAATCAGCGTGGCTCAAAGGCATTTGCCCTGCAATTTCTGCCGTCATGTGGCTTTTCACTCGGGTGTGGTTTGAGGTTGGGGTGAGGAGAGAGAGAGAGAGAGAGAGGGAGGAGGGCGCCGTAGTTTAGGTGGGACGGGAGGGTGAGCTTGCTCCGCTTTAAAGAAGCGCAGCGCGACTGAAGTCTGTCGCACGGCGAACGGTATTTTACTCCCGACGCGAACGGGAAGCCAAAACAATCAATTATCTTCCGCCTTCTAATTACCGAAAGGAGTTGACGGGATGCGAGTGTGCGTTGACATCTCCTTCCTCTCCTGGTCAGACGGTCTTTTCTCTGCTTTAAAATACCCCTCGAAATGAACAGCGATGGAAAAGGGCATTCTGAGCACAAATACAAGAATCTAAAATACTATCATCAAGTATGTTTATGGTTAGGTGCTTTAGTCCGGATGTTGCCAAACAAGGGGTCAGGCCCCTGCAAAGGGTCACGAGAGAAATGTGGGGGGTCGTGAGATGATTAATGGGGATAGAAAAACAAAAAAAACAAAGTTCAGCCGCACAGATTTCAATGCATTTTTCAATCTGTCCGTAATTTTTGTTTTCTTTTATCAATATTAGCTCATTTTAGCTGCTAACGATGTGCCGCTATCCGGTATGTGACGAAACCCACAAGCCAAGAAGGTTGAGAAACCATTTATTTTATTATTTCATTGTGTTTTGTGGTTGTAAAATATGACTAAGTAACTGAAAAAAGTAGCATAGAACTGCATTACTCAAGTCCAATAACTCAAAATTGCACTCAAATACAGCGCTGATCCCGACTCTTAACAACCCATCGTACCCATCGCCGTGATCCTCTGAAACTAGCAGTCAGATAAACGTCCGCCCCGCTTTCCTTATGACAGGCCTGTCTGTACAAACATTCATCTACAAACCAAAGCACCTCGGGGCATGCATGGAAAGCATGTGCTTTACATTACATGCTTACCGAGGTATGCCCACAATGTGGCCGGTGTGAGGTAGCCTAGCCGCGGCTAATGAACGAGCTCCCAGGCATTTTTACGAGCGCTTGGAAGTCAAACTGCGGTTTGAAGTCGCATTTCTCGCTCCCTTTCATCAATGAGGAGAGCCTCCCTGAGCAAACGCCTGGCTCGAAGATGTAGCAGAGGTGAAGCTGGGACAGCAGTAAGTGGGGAGGGAGGGGGAGGAGTGGGGGTCAGGAGGCCCACTGGGTTTGTAATTAGCAAAATAATGCAGGATGTCTGGCAGCTGGTTAGGATTTTGACTGTTTTATCCTTTGCCCACCTTCCCCCGTGGCAGGTTGTTATCTGTGCCGTACAGACATTTCATTGGCTTCCACTGACCCCCAAAAGCCCCCCCCCCCCCGGCCTCCGTGGGGGCTCTGAAGCCACACGGCAGGGGACCCCTAAACTTTTAGCATTAGCATTCACACAAAGGGATTCCTCGCCCGGCTCGGGCATGTGGTCTTCATTGTCCCAGCAAAGCGTGAGCGAGGATGAACCGGCCGCCTCGCTCTCCTGCTCCCGACGCGCTGCGACACACACGGCGACGAGACGCCGCTTTTCGTCAGCGGACCACACGCACGCGCCGAACCAGCGTGGGCGCGGCGAAAC